TGTGTCTAGGATGGTAGGTATTGAAAATGAGATATATCGGTCCACGTTCTGGTATAGTCCCCATATTACGGTACCTTCCGATATTCGGTATTTTGATGATTTATGTCACATTTTTTCACGGATTTGTCTGAAAATTGGTATTTGTAGGTCATAACGGGTACTTGTGCGTGTGGCAAAACATTGCATGTATAGGTCTACGTTTTGGTACAGCCCCCATATAAAGGTACCTTCCCATTATTCGGTATTTTAATTTTTTTTGCCACATTTTTTCACGGATTTGTCTAAAAATTGATATTTGTTGGTCATAAAGGGTTCCAGCTTCGGTGGCGAAACATTGCATGTATGGGTCCATGAGTTGGTATAGCCCTCATATAACGGTACCTCCCGATATTCTGTATTTTGATGTTTTTTTGCCACATTTTTTCACTGATTTGTCTAAAAATTGGTATTTGTGGGTCATAATGGGTCCTAGTTCGTGTGGCGAAACATTGTATGTATAGGTCCACGTTTTGATAGAGTCGCCATATAACGGTACCTCCCAATATTCGGTATTTTGATGATAATTGACACATTTTTTTAAAGAATTTTTCTGAAAATTGGTAGTTGTAGATACCGATTTGGTATAGCCCCTATATAACGGTATCTTCCTATATTCGGCATTTTAATGGTTTTTGCCACATTTCTAATATTGAAGGAAATTAAAAACTGACTTGAATGACATGTGGTTTAAACCAAACGCCACTGAGAAGCGATTTTTGTGAAAACTTTATTTCACGTTCGAGACCGGTCAATTGGCTGTCTAGACAGCGCGATTTAACGCCTTTGGATTATTGTTTAGGCTATATTAAAACCCATGTCCATACATATAAGCCCGCTTCAATTGACGCATTGGAAGATAACATTGAAGCATTCATTCGTGAGATACCAGCCGAAGTGTTGCAAAGAGTATGACAAAATTGAACATATCGAATGAACCAATCAATTCAAATAAAAATTGCATGCATTTTCTACATTTTATTAATTTTTATACCCTACACCACATGGTGGCCAGGGTATTATGTCTTTGTGCATCTGTTTGTAACAGGCAAAAGGAAACGAGATAGATCCATAGTTCCTTTTGATGATCTGCATAGAATCACATTCTGAGTCGATTTATGCATGTCCGTCTGTCCGTCCGTCCGTATGTCCGTCCTGTCCATGTATTTTTGTAAACAAAGTACGGTTCGCATTTATTGCCCGATCCAGATTAAATTTTGCACAAATAATTTATTTGGCCCAAGGACGAACCCTATTGAAATTGGAGATAATCGGTAAAAATTAAGATATAGCTCCCATATATATATTCGTCCGATTTGCCTTTTATTGTGCACCAAACGTGTAATATCAGCTCGAATATTATAGCATTTTGCACATACAACCAAATTAGGCCTGAAAATAATATTCTAAATTTGATCGAAATCGGTTCAGATATAGCTATAGCTCCTATATACATGTTTCATCCGATTTGTTATTTTTGTCATCCGTAGCCGTAATATGCACTCTGTAACAAAATTTGGGGAAATATATGAAATGCAGCTCAGAAATACCTTTGCTAAATTTTATTGAGATTGGTTCAGACTTGGATATAGCTCCCATATATAACTTCGTCCGATTTACTTTTTATTGTGCACCAAACGTCTAATATTTGCACAAATGGGTTATCCACAGCCGTAATATGCACTCCGTAACAACGATACTCAGGAAAATATATTAAATACAGCTCAGAAATATCATTGCCAAATTTTATCGATTTCGGTTCAGATTTGGATATAGCTCCCATATATATATATTTATTCGATTTAAAATGAATTGTGCACCATACGGGCAATACAAGTCCGAATGTAAAAGATACAAATGCTTCGGCATATTTAGTCCTTTGAACTTTAAATTATAATTATAATCATAGCGTGTATAATTGAGTTCTCCCATAAAAACTTTTAATTGTTATGTGGAGCTCTACTAAATAAGCAAAGTGGTATACTGTATCATAAAGTCGGCCTCGCCCGACTTTAAGACTTTCTTTACTGTTTTTTTTTTTTGAAAAATATTCCTATAACTCTTTAAAATTAAACATCAGATGCTCCTGTACTCTTCTTATCAATATTTCGCCATGTTGCTGGCCAATTTCTATCATAATGCCTCTGGGCATTGATAGATCTGTTAATCTGCCATTAATTTACTGATTTATGTGTATATATTCAGCATAAATATTTTATGGGTATATTCTTCATTTAGTATTAAGAGCAAAATCAACACACATACCCTCTAAATTTACCAGCATAGCAAGACCAGAATGATTGCCTTTTTATGCCCTCCACCTTGAAAAGGAGGGTATATTAACTTTGTCATTCCGTTTATAACATCCCTAAATATTCATAGTAGACCGCATAAAGTATATATATTCCCAATCAGCATAAAATTCTAAGTCGATTGTCCGTCTGTCTGTTAAAATCACGATACAGCCCACATTATTTGACGTAGAGCGTCAAAATTTAGCAGAACAATTTGTAATGTGCCTAGGATGGTTGGTATGAAAATATTGGTATGAAAATATATCGGTCCACGTTTTGGTATAGTCCTCATATAACGGTACCTTTCGATATTCGGTATTTTGTTGATTTTTGCTACATTTTTTCACGGATTTGTCTAAAAATTGGTATTTGCAGGTCATAATGGGTTCTAGCTCGTATGTGTACGTCCACGTTTTATAGCCCCCATATAACGGTACCTGCAAATATTCGATAATTTAATAAAAATTGGTATTTTTAGTTCATGATGGGCTCTAGCCCAGTGGCATTGAATATTAAGTTCCTCCTAGCGATAACCACCGATATTCGGTATTTTTACAATCTTAGTCACATTTACCCACATAATTTTTTTTTTAAATGGTATTTTAGAATATTTGATAGATGACAATCCTTGATGTATAAAATTGTCTGTAGAGGTCCCGTTTCGGTATGGCACCATATAACGGCCTCACTCACTTTATGTTTTTTTGAAAAATTTAACTGCATTATGCAAACGGTCTTACTGGTATATGAAGTTTAAAGTGAAACACGCTTGAATTCAGATACTTTTATATAAAAATGTTTCCTTTAGCCTAAGGTGGAGGGTATTAAAACTTCGGCCCGGCCAAACATAATGTTTTTTTACTTGCTTTAACTTGTTTACTATCTCTAAGTGGCAGTGTAATAAGCACTGTGATATTTACATATATTTTGTAACATAGACCAGAGTATTGCAATGTGTTAACTTCGAAGAAAATTGGACTGGTACATAACATACTACGAGAGTTATAATTATTCAACATTTTTACGCTGCGCTATGTTTGAGTTATTTCAGGTAACACCTAGTAAGAGATTTATGTTTTATTTTTAATTTTTGTGGTCCAGAAAGAATGAACCGACACATTATAATTTTACATATGCTCTTACATAGAAAAAATATGAAAAATACATTTTATTAAAATCGGACACTGATAAAACATTTTATGAGAACACGGGTACTTCCATCGCTTAGTATTAGAAGAAGCGAGGATATAACGTCCATTTACAAACTCTATAAAAGATTTAAAAATTATTATAAAAAAGGTTTTTGCTGGATTAACTGTAACCCCGTGGTAAAATTAAGAAGGTAATGTCATTTCAAATAAACATTCCCATCTCTGCATTTTTTGTAATTCACCTTGTAATTCAAATTTCACTGCATAGAAAACAGGTTCTCATCTCTATTATGTGTATGCACAATGGATTTATAAAATACATTTCAACAATGAGATGTTGTCAAAAGAATAATTTTGAAAAACAAATATTAAACATGTGATTGCATTACTTTACTATCTTAATTCTGCCATATGTATCCCCTTCGGACATTTATTAAAGCATCTAAAGAACGGGTATAACTTTTTTGTACACACAATTCTATGGAGAGTATATTAACTGTGTCATTCCATTTGTAACTCATCGAAATATTTATGTTAGACCCTACAAAGTGTATATAATACGGATGAGCGTAAAATTCTAATTCGATTTACCGACGTCTGTCTGTTCTAATCATCTTTTAAACGATATATATTTTGCAAGTCATGTTCGTAAATGGTCCAAATTTTCGTGTAGCCCCCACATGACGATACCTCAAAATATTCGGTATTTTGATGATTTCAGCGACATTATTCAAAAAATTTGTTTTAAATTTCGTATTTGAAGTTCGTAATGGCTACTACTATAATCATCATATAACGGGTGTCATTTAAGCGGTATTTTTCGATTCGGTTTGCTTAGCTGTTTTTACTTATTTACTGACTGGTTTTGTCTGAAATTTTGGTTTTGTTATTGGTTTACCAATTTAATAATGTAATTAACATATAAATAAAGTCTATGTATTGGCCCACTTTAAAAAAGCAATAACAACAAATAGATTAGTAAAAAATTAATTTATTCAATTTTAAATATAAATATTTTTAAATCCGTGACAACAAATATATACATAATTTTGTAGATGCTAGATGTCCTATACGTAACGGCAAATATATATTTTAAGCCCCCGAATTGAACCTCTCAGCATTCCGTAAAAATGCAAACAACTAGTATAAAGATCAGTAGTTAGTTAGTGTTTATAAAAGTAGTTTAGTTTTAATTTATACTATTGGTTTGATACCGGTATAAATCCAGAGTTAAATTTTTCAACAATGCTTCAGAAAGCAAAACAGCGAAATTAGGTTAAAAATTAGTTAATTTTTTATTATACTCGTATTCTAAACTTTGATCAGGTTCTAAACGGTTAAAATACTAATAAATGACGGTTATGTATATTAATGCATTCAAATTAAATGCAATTTAGAAAAATTCTTCCAAATGAACTTGTGAAACATGTTTGAAATCCATTGCTGTTTCAAAAAGGAGTATTATTTTGTATATGTGTAGCTGATTAAAAGATTATATTATCCAAAATATTGATCAGTTCTCAGTTAGTTTGTACAGATCCATTCGTGATACTCATTGTTTGATTTCATTAAATTCGAATTATATTATTGTTTTTTTTTTTTTTTTTAATTTTTGTTAACTTAAGTATGTTTCGAGCCCAAGTTGTTAGTGTTTTGATAATAGTTTTGGTAGCTGCAGCTACCAGCGACAAATTTCTGGCTCAAAAACGTATGTAGAAGATGGATATTTTTAAGTGGGAGTCAACTACTTTGGTTTTTATTATAGCGGATTTCTTGACGCCATGTAAACAAACGGACCCTAACTTCAACAAATGCTTTGCAAAAGATTTTGAAGTGGTTTTTTCACAATACAAAGATGGTAATGCTTGAAAACATAAAATAGAAACAAGTTAAAAAACGCCTTAGTTCGGCCGGGCCGATCTTTGGATATCCTCCACCATTTAGAATGAACTTGAAAATTAAAAAAAAAAATCCTAAAAATATCGCTTAAACGAAGGCGAGGACCTTCATAAATAACTTTCTGTCAGAGATTGATTACGAACTTCAAATACGAAATTCAAAACAATTCGGGTGAATAATGTTGGTAAAATCATCGAAATACCGAATATTGGGAGGTATCGTTATCAAAGACGTGGACCAACATACGCAATTTTCTGTCATAGGCTTTAGTACCCATTGCAAACTTTAAATACCAAATTTGAAATAAATCCGTTTAATAATTTCGCCAATATCATGAAAATACCGAAAAAGGGAGATACCGTTACATGTAGGGTATATGAATACGTGGGCCTGCTTTTACGCTTATCAATAGTATATATACTATACCACAAGAATAATGCAAAAAGTTAATACACCCTCCTTAGAATGGTGTAGGGTATAAAAACAATGAAATCTGCAGATATAGATCGAGAAAATATTTATTAGAAGCAATTGTGTGTATTTGTTGGTTTGATAAACTATAAACAATGCGACTTTTGGTCAAATAATAAATATTTTTAAATTTGTGAAATTGTTTCCAATTAATCATCTTCTCTTCTACTTGAAGGTGTACCCGGCCTAAAGACTTTCGGAACAATTGATCCGTTGCATGTTAAACGTGTTGTAATAGCAGAGGATGGCAATAGTCCCGTTGCCATTAATATTGAACTCACCGATTTGGAGGTAATTGGTTTCCGGAACACAAAAGTACTCGACGCAAGGTAAAGTTAATATTTTGATCAATAAAAATTATATATAATCGTTGAGTTTTTTTTAGTTTTGACCAACCCAAATTAGTCACCAAATTAAAATTTACAATTCCCGAAATGACAATTAAGTCTAATTATGCGGCTCAAGGTCGGGTCTTAACTTTGCCAATAAATGGCAACGGAAAGGCCGAAATGAAAATTCGTAAGTACATTTTATAAATCTACGTTGTTTATTCTCTACTATACAAAACGAAAAAATAGAAAGCATAGTAATTTTGCCAATCGATTTGCAATATGTCGAATAGTCATATGAGAACAGTGGAATTCATGTATGTGGCATTATCTTCACCATATTATTACAACATTCTATTTGTATCTGATTTAATCCGAAAACTATTCTACGTCGATGTAATAATTGCAGTGCATCTGTTGTTAATAGAGTCCATATTAATATTATTGAACTTAAAAAATGGACACAAAAAAGTTACAAATAGTACCCAATACAAGTTCGATATAAGTTTAAAGATTGTTAAGATCAACCGAGCTTAATTACTTTAATGGTGAAGGAATATATATTGGCTGTACGAAATAGTGTGCATATATTCAGCATTTGTATGAAGATGTCCAGTTCAAAATCCCCCGAATAATACTAATGCCCTAAAACTTTAAGCGCGGAATAATTTCTGCTACAAGGAACTCGCTGTACCAAATTCCAAAATTTAATTAAACATTTTAATATCACGGGGGGTCAATAAAAATAGGACCAATGCACTATGGGGCCGATGGCATGCTTTTGACGCAACAAATCTTATTTTGAAGTTAGTCGTTTGAAGAAAAAATTAAGGAAATTATGTTTAGAACACTTTCGAAACTTCGAAAACAAAATATAACAATCTGGCAACAACTTACGGCGTAATGCCGATTTGTCAAAGATACACTATTTTCTTTTAACAATTTCCTGAAATTTAAACTTAATCAAGCCTTAATTTTTTATTGCATTATATTATCAACAACAAGTGAAAAACACGTGAAAAATAATGTAAATCAAGATTATTATTAGAAATAAAAAGTATTGTTAAACGTTGTAAAGTTTCCCTGGGGTGAATGTGTAGTATCTTTAACAATATACATGTAGTAAAAGGAAATGCAGCATTCTATCATATTTTTAAAAAATTTCAAAATTTTCAAAAAACAAGTCCATTTTCTATTTGCTTAACACTTAAAAATACACTTTAAACTTTATTTACCAGTAAGACCGTTTGCATAATGCAGTTAAATTTATGAAAAAAACATAAAGTGAGTGAGGCCGTTATATGGGGTCATACCACTATAGGCAATTTTATACTTCAAGGTTTGTCATCTATCAAATTTTCTCAAATTAAAAATTTGAAATAATTATGAGGGTAAATGTGAATAGGATTATCAAAATACCGAATTTCGGTGGGTATAGTTATGTGTGCGTTTTAGGAAAACGTGGAACTAAATATTCAATGTTTTGTCACCGTGCTATAACTCATTATGAACTGCAAATACCAATTTTTATCAAACTATCGAATATCGGGAGGTAGCGTAATAGGGGGGCTATACCAAAACGTGGACCTATACATACAATGCTTCGCCATACGAGCTAGAAACCACACATACCAATTTTTAGACAAATCCGTGAAAAAAATGTGGTAAAAATCAACAAAATACCTAATATTGGAGGTACCGTTATATGGGGCTATGCAACAACGTGGATACATACAATTTTTCGCCACGGGAGCTAGAACCCATTATGACGTAAAAATATCAATTTTTAGACAAATCCGCGAGAAAATGTGGCAAAATCATCATCATCAAAATACCGAATATCGGGAGGTACAGTTATATGGGGTCTATACCAAAGCGTGGGCCTATACATACAATGTTTCGCCACCGGAGTAAGAACTCATCATGACAACAAAGACCAATTTTTAGACAAATCCGTGAAAGAAATTTGGCAAAAATCAGCAAAATACCGAATATCAGGAGTTACCGTTGTATGGGGTCTATACCAAAACGTGGACCTACATATCTCATTTTCAATACCAACCATCTGAGACAAAATACAAATTGTTCTGCCAAATTTTGGAGGTCTACGTCAAATAATGTGGGTTGTATCGTGATTTCAACAGACAGACAGACGGAGATCGTTAAATCGACTTAGAATTTCATATTGATTATGAATATATATACTTTATGGGGTCTACGATGAATATTTAGGGATGTTACAAACGGAATGACAAAGTTAATATAGCCTCCTTTTCAAGGTGCGTTTATTGTGTAGTTGTTTAATGTAAATGATGTCAACAATGATCTTTATTGAATGCACAATGCGGCTTGAAATCGTATGAAATATATATACGGAAGCTATATCTTAATCTGAATCGTTTTCCACTAAATTAAACGAAGATATGCTTATGCTGTAGTGACCTCTTGTACCAAATTTCATTGCTTTAGAGAGTATATTATGACTTTGAGAAGACTTAAATATATAATCGTATAAAACATATATATGGGAGCTATAGCTATAAAGGAATTGAGTAGGTCCAAATATGGCCTATTTTATTCCTGACGGAATTTTATCATATGATTCAAGACACAACCTACTTAGACAAAAATAGCACGGTCGGTGTATTATTCAAAACAAAGTTGGGAGCTTTATTTAAATCTAAACCGATTTCGACCAAATTTGTCAAAAGTATTACTAATCTGCATCTAATACATCGTACTGATGTCATTGTTATAGAGTTCATATTAATACTCTGAGATTTGAAATCGGTTGAAATTTATATGTGGGATCTATATCTATATTCCTGCAGATTCGAAAGAAATTTGGCAGATTTCGTTCTCATCACAACCAGCACCTAAAAACAAACTTTGGAAAGTTTACTTCGTCACTGTGATTTTCTGCCTCAAAAGCATGGGTTTAGGTAGCTTCACATAAAATATGTAATAACTTTCTAAATTTACAAAATTTTAGTTAACAAATCATAATTATTTACTAATATTAACATGTATATTTTCTAATTTATTTCAGAAAACTTATTAATAAATGTTATTTGCAAACTAAAACGACGTGACGAAGATGGCATGAAATTTACTGACATTCAAAAAGTTCGCTTGGACATTGAGGTTGGTGGTTTCCATATCGATTTGGAAAATCTGTTCAATGGTCAAAAGGATTTGGAACAAACAGCGAATAATCTGTTCAATGACAGTTGGAAAGAACTATTCGAGGCTTTGCGCCCTTCGATTACAGCAACAATACAAACGGTGCTGGAAGACCGTTACAAAAAACTGTTTGCCTACATACCAGCCACATATTTTATTGAAGATTTAGAATAATAAAAAACAAAACACCAAAGAAATTTGACAGTTTTTATACCCTTAACCAAAAAAGGTATGGAGGGTATATTAACTTTGTCATTCCGTTTGTAACTCATCGAAATAATCATTTTAGACCCAACAAAGTATATATATTCTTGATCAGCGTAAAATTCTAAGACGATTTAGCCCTGTCCGTCCGTCTGTCCGTCTGTCCGTCTGTCCGTCTGTTGTAATCACGCTACAGTCTAAACGAATTAAGATAGGAAGCTAAAATTTTGCACAGATCTCTCTTTTGTCTGCAGGCAGGTCAAGTTCGAAGATGGGCTATATCGGTCCACGATATCGTATAGCCCCCATATAACGGTACCCCCCGATATTCGGTATTTTGATGATTTTACCCACACTTTTTAACGGAATTGTCTGAAAATCCACACAAGGAGTTCCTTGTGGGTACTTTATACCTCAGCAGAGAATTGTTTATATAGGTCCATAATATCGTATAGCCCCCATATAACGGTACCCCCCGATGTTCGGTATTATGATGATTTTACCCACATTTTTGAACGGAATTGTCTGAAAATCCACACAAGGAGTTCCTTGTGGGTACTTAATACCTCGGCAGAGAATTATCTATATAGGTCCACAATATCGTATAGCCCCCATATAACGGTACCCCCCGATATTCGGTATTTTGATGATTGTAGCCACATTTTTCAACGGAAATGTCTGAAAATCCACACAAGGAGTTCCTTGAGGGTACTTTATACCTCGGCAGAGAATTGTTTATATAGGTCCACAATATCGTATAGCCCCCATATAACGGTACCCCCCGATGTTCGGTATTTTGATGATTTTACCCACATTTTTCAACGGAATTGTCTGAAAATCCACACAAGGAGTTCCTTGTGGCTACTTTATACCTCGGCAGAGAATTGTCCATATAGGTCCACGATATCGTATAGCCCCCATGTAACGGAACCCCCCCCCCCCCCCCCGATATTCGGTATTTTGATGATTTTACCCACATTTTTCAACGGAATTGTCTGAAAATCCACACAAGGAGTTCCTTGTGGGTACTTTATACCTCAGCAGAGAATTATCTATATAGGTCCACAATATCGTATAGCCCCCATATAACGGTACCCCCCGATATTCGGTATTTTGATGATTTTACCCACATTTTTCAACGGAATTGTCTGAAAATCCACACAAGGAGTTCCTTGTGGGTACTTTATACCTCGGCAGAGAATTGTCCATATAGGTCCACGATATCGTATAGTCCCCATGTAACGGAACCCCCCCCCCCCCCCCCCCCCCCCGATATTCGGTATTTTGATGATTTTACCCACATTTTTCAACGGAATTGTCTGAAAATCCACACAAGGAGTTCCTTGTGGGTACTTTATACCTCGGCAGAGAATTGTCCATATAGGTCCACGATATCGTATAGCCCCCATGTAACGGAACCCCCCCCCCCCGATATTCGGTATTTTGATGATTTTACCCACATTTTTCAACGGAATTGTCTGAAAATCCACACAAGGAGTTCCTTGTGGGTACTTTATACCTCGGCAGAGAATTGTCCATATAGGTCCACGATATCGTATAGCCCCCATGTAACGGAAACCCCCCGATATTCGGTATTTTGATAACTTTACCCACATTTTTCAACGGAATTGTCTGAAAATCCACACAAGGAGTTCCTTGTGGGTACTTTATACCTCGGCAGAGAATTATTTATATAGGTCCACAATATCGTATAGCCCCCATATAACGGTACCCCCCGATATTCGGTATTTTGAAGATTTTACCCACATTTTTGAACGGAATTTTCTGAAAATCCACACAAGGAGTTCCTTGTGGGTACTTAATACCTCGGCAGAGAATTATTTATATCGGTCCTCGATATCGTATAGCCCCCATATAACGGTACCCCCCGATATTCGGTATTTTGATGATTTTACCCACATTTTTCAACGGAATTGTCTGAAAATCCACACAAGGAGTTCCTTGTGGGTACTTTATACCTCGGCAGAGAATTGTCCATATAGGTCCACGATATCGTATAGCCCCCATGTAACGGTACCCCCCTGATATTCGGTATTTTGATGATTTTACCCACATTTTTCAACGGAATTGTCTGAAAATCCACACAAGGAGTTCCTTGTGGGTACTTTATACCTCGGCAGAGAATTATTTATATAGGTCCACAATATCGTATAGCCCCCATATAACGGTACCCCCCGATATTCGGTATTTTGAAGATTTTACCCACATTTTTGAACGGAATTTTCTGAAAATCCACACAAGGAGTTCCTTGTGGGTACTTTATACCTCGGCAGAGAATTATCTATATAGGTCCACAATATCGTATAGCCCCCATATAACGGTACCCCCCGATATTCGGTATTTTGATGATTTTACCCACATTTTTCAACGGCATGCTTTTGACGCAACAAATCTTATTTTGAAGTTAGTCGTTTGAAGAAAAAATTAAGGAAATTATGTTTAGAACACTTTCGAAACTTCGAAAACAAAATATAACAATCTGGCAACAACTTACGGCGTAATGCCGATTTGTCAAAGATACACTATTTTCTTTTAACAATTTCCTGAAATTTAAACTTAATCAAGCCTTAATTTTTTATTGCATTATATTATCAACAACAAGTGAAAAACACGTGAAAAATAATGTAAATCAAGATTATTATTAGAAATAAAAAGTATTGTTAAACGTTGTAAAGTTTCCCTGGGGTGAATGTGTAGTATCTTTAACAATATACATGTAGTAAAAGGAAATGCAGCATTCTATCATATTTTTAAAAAATTTCAAAATTTTCAAAAAACAAGTCCATTTTCTATTTGCTTAACACTTAAAAATACACTTTAAACTTTATTTACCAGTAAGACCGTTTGCATAATGCAGTTAAATTTATGAAAAAAACATAAAGTGAGTGAGGCCGTTATATGGGGTCATACCACTATAGGCAATTTTATACTTCAAGGTTTGTCATCTATCAAATTTTCTCAAATTAAAAATTTGAAATAATTATGAGGGTAAATGTGAATAGGATTATCAAAATACCGAATTTCGGTGGGTATAGTTATGTGTGCGTTTTAGGAAAACGTGGAACTAAATATTCAATGTTTTGTCACCGTGCTATAACTCATTATGAACTGCAAATACCAATTTTTATCAAACTATCGAATATCGGGAGGTAGCGTAATAGGGGGGCTATACCAAAACGTGGACCTATACATACAATGCTTCGCCATACGAGCTAGAAACCACACATACCAATTTTTAGACAAATCCGTGAAAAAAATGTGGTAAAAATCAACAAAATACCTAATATTGGAGGTACCGTTATATGGGGCTATGCAACAACGTGGATACATACAATTTTTCGCCACGGGAGCTAGAACCCATTATGACGTAAAAATATCAATTTTTAGACAAATCCGCGAAAAAATGTGGCAAAATCATCATCATCAAAATACCGAATATCGGGAGGTACAGTTATATGGGGTCTATACCAAAGCGTGGGCCTATACATACAATGTTTCGCCACCGGAGTAAGAACTCATCATGACAACAAAGACCAATTTTTAGACAAATCCGTGAAAGAAATTTGGCAAAAATCAGCAAAATACCGAATATCAGGAGTTACCGTTGTATGGGGTCTATACCAAAACGTGGACCTACATATCTCATTTTCAATACCAACCATCTGAGACAAAATACAAATTGTTCTGCCAAATTTTGGAGGTCTACGTCAAATAATGTGGGTTGTATCGTGATTTCAACAGACAGACAGACGGAGATCGTTAAATCGACTTAGAATTTCATATTGATTATGAATATATATACTTTATGGGGTCTACGATGAATATTTAGGGATGTTACAAACGGAATGACAAAGTTAATATAGCCTCCTTTTCAAGGTGCGTTTATTGTGTAGTTGTTTAATGTAAATGATGTCAACAATGATCTTTATTGAATGCACAATGCGGCTTGAAATCGTATGAAATATATATACGGAAGCTATATCTTAATCTGAATCCTTTTCCACTAAATTAAACGAAGATATGCTTATGCTGTAGTGACCTCTTGTACCAAATTTCATTGCTTTAGAGAGTATATTATGACTTTGAGAAGACTTAAATATATAATCGTATAAAACATATATATGGGAGCTATAGCTATAAAGGAATTGAGTAGGTCCAAATATGGCCTATTTTATTCCTGACGGAATTTTATCATATGATTCAAGACACAACCTACTTAGACAAAAATAGCACGGTCGGTGTATTATTCAAAACAAAGTTGGGAGCTTTATTTAAATCTAAACCGATTTCGACCAAATTTGTCAAAAGTATTACTAATCTGCATCTAATACATCGTACTGATGTCATTGTTATAGAGTTCATATTAATACTCTGAGATTTGAAATCGGTTGAAATTTATATGTGGGATCTATATCTATATTCCTGCAGATTCGAAAGAAATTTGGCAGATTTCGTTCTCATCACAACCAGCACCTGAAAACAAACTTTGGAAAGTTTACTTCGTCACTGTGATTTTCTGCCTCAAAAGCATGGGTTTAGGTAGCTTCACATAAAATATGTAATAACTTTCTAAATTTACAAAATTTTAGTTAACAAATCATAATTATTTACTAATATTAACATGTATATTTTCTAATTTATTTCAGAAAACTTATTAATAAATGTTATTTGCAAACTAAAACGACGTGACGAAGATGGCATGAAATTTACTGACATTCAAAAAGTTCGCTTGGACATTGAGGTTGGTGGTTTCCATATCGATTTGGAAAATCTGTTCAATGGTCAAAAGGATTTGGAACAAACAGCGAATAATCTGTTCAATGACAGTTGGAAAGAACTATTCGAGGCTTTGCGCCCTTCGATTACAGCAACAATACAAACGGTGCTGGAAGACCGTTACAAAAAACTGTTTGCCTACATACCAGCCACATATTTTATTGAAGATTTAGAATAATAAAAAACAAAACACCAAAGAAATTTGACAGTTTTTATACCCTCCACCAAAAAAGGTATGGAGGGTATATTAACTTTGTCATTCCGTTTGTAACTCATCGAAATAATCATTTTAGACCCAACAAAGTATATATATTCTTGATCAGCGTAAAATTCTAAGACGATTTAGCCCTGTCCGTCCGTCTGTCCGTCTGTCCGTCTGTCCGTCTGTCCGTCTGTTGTAATCACGCTACAGTCTAAACGAATTAAGATAGGAAGCTAAAATTTTGCACAGATCTCTCTTTTGTCTGCAGGCAGGTCAAGTTCGAAGATGGGCTATATCGGTCCACGATATCGTATAGCCCCCATATAACGGTACCCCCCGATATTCGGTATTTTGATGATTTTACCCACACTTTTTAACGGAATTGTCTGAAAATCCACACAAGGAGTTCCTTGTGGGTACTTTATACCTCAGCAGAGAATTGTTTATATAGGTCCATAATATCGTATAGCCCCCATATAACGGTACCCCCCGATGTTCGGTATTATGATGATTTTACCCACATTTTTGAACGGAATTGTCTGAAAATCCACACAAGGAGTTCCTTGTGGGTACTTAATACCTCGGCAGAGAATTATCTATATAGGTCCACAATATCGTATAGCCCCCATATAACGGTACCCCCCGATATTCGGTATTTTGATGATTGTAGCCACATTTTTCAACGGAAATGTCTGAAAATCCACACAAGGAGTTCCTTGAGGGTACTTTATACCTCGGCAGAGAATTGTTTATATAGGTCCACAATATCGTATAGCCCCCATATAACGGTACCCCCCGATGTTCGGTATTTTGATGATTTTACCCACATTTTTCAACGGAATTGTCTGAAAATCCACACAAGGAGTTCCTTGTGGCTACTTTATACCTCGGCAGAGAATTGTCCATATAGGTCCACGACATCGTATAGCCCCCATGTAACGGAACCCCCCCCCCCCCCCCCGATATTCGGTATTTTGATGATTTTACCCACATTTTTCAACGGAATTGTCTGAAAATCCACACAAGGAGTTCCTTGTGGGTACTTTATACCTCAGCAGAGAATTATCTATATAGGTCCACAATATCGTATAGCCCCCATATAACGGTACCCCCCGATATTCGGTATTTTGATGATTTTACCCACATTTTTCAACGGAATTGTCTGAAAATCCACACAAGGAGTTCCTTGTGGGTACTTTATACCTCGGCAGAGAATTGTCCATATAGGTCCACGATATCGTATAGCCCCCATGTAACGGAACCCCCCCCCCCCCCCCCCCCGATATTCGGTATTTTGATAATTTTACCCACATTTTTGAACGGAATTATCTGAAAATCCACACAAGGAGTTCCTTGTGGGTACTTAATACCTCGGCAGAGAATTATCTATATAGGTCCACAATATCGTATAGCCCCCATATAACGGTACCCCCCGATATTCGGTATTTTGATGATTTTACCCACATTTTTCAACGGAATTGTCTGAAAATCCACACAAGGAGTTCCTTGTGGGTACTTTATACCTCGGCAGAGAATTGTCCATATAGGTCCACGATATCGTATAGCCCCCATGTAACGGAACCCCCCCCCGATATTCGGTATTTTGATGATTTTACCCACATTTTTCAACGGAATTGTCTGAAAATCCACACAAGGAGTTCCTTGTGGGTACTTTATACCTCGGCAGAGAATTGTCCATATAGGTCCACGATATCGTATAGCCCCCATGTAACGGAAACCCCCCGATATTCGGTATTTTGATAACTTTACCCACATTTTTCAACGGAATTGTCTGAAAATCCACACAAGGAGTTCCTTGTGGGTACTTTATACCTCGGCAGAGAATTATTTATATAGGTCCACAATATCGTATAGCCCCCATATAACGGTACCCCCCGATATTCGGTATTTTGAAGATTTTACCCACATTTTTGAACGGAATTTTCTGAAAATCCACACAAGGAGTTCCCTGTGGGTACTTAATACCTCGGCAGAGAATTATTTATATCGGTCCTCGATATCGTATAGCCCCCATATAACGGTACCCCCCGATATTCGGTATTTTGATGATTTTACCCACATTTTTCAACGGAATTGTCTGAAAATCCACACAAGGAGTTCCTTGTGGGTACTTTATACCTCGGCAGAGAATTGTCCATATAGGTCCACGATATCGTATAGCCCCCATGTAACGGTACCCCCCTGATATTCGGTATTTTGATGATTTTACCCACATTTTTCAACGGAATTGTCTGAAAATCCACACAAGGAGTTCCTTGTGGGTACTTTATACCTCGGCAGAGAATTATTTATATAGGTCCACAATATCGTATAGCCCCCATATAACGGTACCCCCCGATATTCGGTATTTTGAAGATTTTACCCACATTTTTGAACGGAATTTTCTGAAAATCCACACAAGGAGTTCCTTGTGGGTACTTTATACCTTGGCAGAGAATTATCTATATAGGTCCACAATATCGTATAGCCCCCATATAACGGTACCCCCCGATATTCGGTATTTTGATGATTTTACCCACATTTTTCAACGGAATTGTCTGAAAATCCACACAAGGAGTTCCTTGTGGGTACTTTATACCTCGGCAGAGAATTATCTATATAGGTCCACAATATCGTATAGCCCCCATATAACGGTACCCCCACGGTATTCGGTATTTTCATGATTTTAGCCACATTTGTCAACGGAATTGTCTGAAAATCCACTAAAGGAGTCCCTTGTGGGCATTTTACCTCCTCAAAATGAAGTGTCTATGTAGGTCCACGATATCGTATATTCCCCATATAACTGTAACCTCCGATATTCGGTATTTTGATGATGTTAGCCACGCTTTTCGATGGAATTGTCTTAAAATCAATACAAGTAGTTCCTTGTGAGTACTTCACCCCCTGAGAGAGAATTGTCTATACAGGTCCACGATATCGTATATCCCCCATATAACGGTACCTCCCGATATTCGGTATTTTATGATTTGACCCACATTTTTCATCGGAATTGTCTGAAAATCCACACAAGGAGTTCCTTGTGGGTACTTTATACCTCGGCAGAGAATTATCTATATAGATCCACGATATTGTATAGCCCTCATATAACGGTACCCCCGATATTCGGTATTTTGAGGTTTTTAGCCATATGTTTCAACGGAATGGTCACAAGGGGTTCTTTGTACACAAGGGGTTCTTTGTGAGCACTTTACCCACCGACAGAGAATTCTCTATATAGGTTAACGATAACGCATAGCTCCCATATAACGGTACCCCGCGATATTCGGTATTTTGATGATTTTAGCCACATTTTCCAATCGTATTGTCTGAAAATCCATACACGAAGTTCCTTGTGAGTACTTTACACGCAGACATAGATTTGTCTTTATAGGTCCACAATATCGTATATCCCCCCATATATCGGCACCTTCCTATATTAGATACTAGCTGGCCCGGTCCGCGATGCCGGCCCCTACTTTTAGTTTTTAATGCATATTTTTTAAGGCATTATAGAACACTGATCTGAATGATTTCAAAATAGTCAAAGATAATTGGTCTTTTACACCCATTACCTTAAGATAGGAATTAATTTATTTTTGTCATTTAAATTGTGTGTTGGAAAACCCACAAAGTCCATATTTTTCTTCATAGTATAATTCAATAACGATCCAAAAAATAATATTCGTGATTTTTTCAAGTTTCTGCCAAAATTTGATATTTCGGAGTTCAAAGCATGTTGACGTACATCCCACTTCTACGTTCCCAGCCAATATTCTCTTGAGAGTTAAAAATTCAATAGTATACCAAATTTTTTTTTTCTGACCAAACATTGGTTAGGAATGTGGATTTGCGGGTACACTAATGTGGGAACTATACTTAATAAAATGCCTATGTGGACAATTATCTGTAAGACGATTCTCTATCCCAGAGTAGCCTAAATACAATTTTTTAGCCAAATCAATTGATGAATGTGATCAAGACCAAGATGGACTCTACTCCAAAAGTCAAAATATTATGAGAAGAGGTTTTTACACCCGTAGAAACAAAGATGTCAAATAAAGGCCTGAAAAATGAAAAAAAAATGTCGAAAACCCCGAATATAGTTTAAATTATATAATGGTTATACCAAAACGTGATCATTTTTTGCGAGGATGGTTTCTTCTCAAATTACCAACTTTTGCTAAAATGCGTATGAGTAAAATATGGTTAAAATGTAAACTATACTTGAAAAAGGAGTGTACCCTTATCCGGGGGTCATATATTTAAGATATCTTGAAAGTTTTTTTTTCCTAAATGTCCAATTCGCTCTACCATTTTGCACCATTTTGCTCCAATGAATTGCATTTTGAGTTCTCATTGGGCGGATTATTGTAATATGAAAGAAATAGGTTCACATATAAGGGTTATACCAAAGCATGGTCCTATTCTTATAATTATTTGAAAAAATGTGTTGTTCTTCTTAAAATCTCAAATTACCAACATTTAATATACATCTGATATATATTTTGAACAACTGATTATTCATGAAACCCCTAGGAAAAATTTAAAACTCTATGGTAACTTTTGCGAAGTATAGAGCAAAATATTTGAGGCCCTTTGTGTTTGGTTAAACTATATAAAATGGACATTAAAAACGTTTGATCCCCCCCCTTTTTGGGATTGTTATGTACCAACCAAACTGACTACTGATGATAGCGCATAGTCACCGTATAACGTTTGATGGGAGTTAAGGTTACTTTTAAGGTTTCGGAAGAATTTTCCGAGGAAATGTATCCTTTTCTTTCCAAATTTTCAATTTGCTCCACTATTTTATATAGTTCGCATATAACAGTGCTCTTCATATTCGGTATTTCACTGGATGCAGTCCCAATGAATTTTGCATTTTAAGTTCTCATTGGATGGATTATTTCCATATCTAGTCAATTTCCATTGATTTTTTTTTTCGATTTTTCCCGATTTGAGAATTTTTGCCATTACATCTCTTTTATCGTGTTTTTTAGCGATTTTGAAAAAGTAATTATCTTTTAACATTGGTCTAACCGCGTTAAGTTATTTCGATATCATTTGACTGACTTCCATGCAACCCGCCATCAATTTCAGTTCTCAAGAAATCAAGTCAATTAAATAAATTGGTATTAATATTCGAATTAAAAAAAAAAAAATAATAAAAAAAAACACTACAAATGTACATTAGAAAAAAGTAAGTCAAAATGGAAAAAAAAATCATGCAAAATAAAACATTACTATTGTACATTTCAAAAGTCAAAATGAAAATGTTAATATATCACATTTTTACGCGATTTTTTTTAATATTATCCTTTTCGGAAAAGAGACAATTCCGAATTTGTATGAATCGTTAAAATCGGATCAGCGGATCTTGAGTTATAAGCGTAGTAACTAACACAACTTACATTTATATATATAGATTTTAAGAATTTTAAAAGAATTTTTATTGGATTTAATTTTTTTGAAAATTTTCTAATTCGTTCCAAATGGTGGAGGGTATTCAAAGTTCGGCCCGGCCGAACTTACTGCTTTTTTACTTGTTTTATTTAATTTAGAAAATACTTCATAATCACAAATCTGAGAAAATTATTCTTCCTGGCAATTTGTTAAGATATTTTTTGCCCTGGTCTAACAGTGAAGCATCCATTGCTTCTTCAATAACTGGACGCATAAGTCCCAATAAATCATGCCAATTTTGATTAAATACATCATTGGCACTATCCGTCAGCGTTTCATTGTCGCCAAACAAATTGTTGAATTTAACATGAAGGGATCCGAGATGTTTTACATTGGTCTTCACCGATTGAACTTCAAAGAATTCTTCAGAATCTCTTGAAACCCGCTTAGATTTTACCACAAATCTCAGTTCAATGTCACCTGCAAAACAAACCAAAGGATTATTTATCCATTAATATTTAAAAATATTTTGTCTTACCGAGATCGATATTAAACGGTCCTTTACCATCAAGGTTCAGTACTAAAACGTTTCCCTTCATGATGTAATTTCCTTTAATGTTTACCTTAGGTATCTTCATATCCATTGTAAAGATTTCTCCATTTGTGACACTAAAAGCATACGGAAACTATTAAAAAACCAGTAAAGAAAACAATTTAAAAAACAGTAAGTTCGGCCGGGCCGAACTTTTAATACCCTCCATCATTTGCAACGAATTTGGAAATTTTCAAAAAATAAAATCCTTAAAAAAATCTGTTAAAATTTTAAAAATACCGAATATAGCCGTTATATTGGGGTCTACACGACGTGGACATACATAGGCATTGTTTGTCATAAGCCATTACCATATTCAAATTCGAAACTTGAAATTAACGGTGGATAATGTAGCTAAAATCATCAAAATATCGTATATAAGGGGGTGCCGTTAAATTGGAGCTGTGCGAAGACCTGGACCAGCATAGACAATTTTCTGTCACAGGCTGTAGCATCCATTACGAACTTCAAATACCACATCTCAAACAATTTCGGTGGGTATTGTACCTAAAATCGTCAAAATAGGGAGGTACTGACATATGGGGCCTATACGAAGACCTGGACCCGCACAGACAATTTTCTGTCACAGACTGTAGTTCCCATAATGAACTTCAAATACCAATTTTGAAACAATTCCGGTGAATAATGCCGCTAAAATCATCAAAATACTGAATATAGGGAGGTACCCTTATATGGGGGCTATACGAAGACGTGGACCTGCAGAGACAGTTTTCTGTCTTAGGGTGTAGTATCCATTTTGAACTTCAAGTACCAAATTTGAAACAATTCCCGTGAATAATGTCGTTAAAATCATCAAAATACCGAATATAGGGAGGTACCGTTATATGGGGGCTATATGAAAACGTGGACCTACATGGCCCTATTACGAACTTAACCTGTCTACTGGAAAAATAAACATGTGTACAAAATTTTAGCCATCTATCTCAATACATTCGAAAGATAGCGTGATTACAACAAACAGACAGACGGACAGACAGACAGACAGACAGACAGACGGACATCGCTAAATCGGCTTAGAATTTTACGGTGATCAAGAATATATATACTTTGTTGGGTCTGACATGAGTATTTCGAGGAGTTACAAACGGAATGACAAAGTTAATATACCCTCCATAGTATGGTAGAGGGTATGATAAAAAGTCAGACGTTGTTGTCTGTATGGCACTATGCACCGCATATTCAGCATCTATACTGGATTATTTTCTGAAGCTTTTTTAGAGTGCATATTATGATTTGAGAAGATTGCAATATAAAGTCAAATGAAACATATATTTGGGAGCTAAATTTATGGGGTCAAAACTTTGCGTACTATTTTTTAGTCCGAACATTTTAACGTTAAACAATTAAATAACATTATGTTCTTTTTGACCATCTTTCAATACCCTTCATCACGAGACAAAGAAACATTTTTAAATATTGTGACTGAAATCAATATTCGAACGTGTTTCACTTACACTCTAAACACCAGTACAATTGGTTTGAGAATGCAATAAACTTTTTCAAAATGCTTAAAAATGGGTGGAACTGTTATATGGGCGCAATTCCAAAACGGGAACTTGAGTAGAAAATTTTCTACTATAAGGATTGTTACCCATTGCGAGTTTTAAATACCAAATTTGGAAAAAATAGTGGCCAAAATCACAGAAAATGCGTCCAAAATTGTCTAAAAAGTATATCTGGACGTACCGCTATATGGGAGCTATGAGAAAACATGGACTACATAGATAGTGTTGTGCCACTGATGGTAAAGTCCAGAAAAAAATCCAAATACCAAATTTCAAACAATTTCATAAAAAAATGTGGCCTAGACGGGAGGTGTCGTTATATGGCTGCTATAGAAAAACGTGGACCGATTTACCTAATTTTCAATACCAACCATCCTTGTGCAGACCACAGCACCAAATCAAAAGCCCTCCGTCACAAAATGTGGTTTGTATCTTGTTTTCAACTAATAGAAAGAAAGACGAATTAAATAACCAGGGTGAAAATGAAAAATAACCCAAATATTATCATATTTTTGTTCGAAATTGTGGAAGAAATCTTCAAAATACCGAAATCGGGAGGTACCGTTATATAGTGGCTAAACCAATTAGTGAACCTAAATCGAACATTTTTCGCACGGAGAGAACAGACCTACCGAGAAAACTAATTGTCAAGTTTATTCTTGGAAATTGTGGCAGAAACCTTCAAAATACCGAAAATCTGGAGGTACAAAAAAGGTTACTGTGCTAGAGATTGAACGGCATATCACTAATGCCACCTCCAGTGGAAATAAAATAAGAAACTTTGTTGTAGCTAAGAAGAAATTTAAAGTAATCTTCCTTAATAATTTCAGTGGAGAAGACAATAAGTTGGTGAGAATGGTGAGCCCCCCACACGCTAGGCCAAACAGTTGAGAAACTGTTCACGTAGCTGGAAAACAAAGGTAATCTTTGTGGGATGTATCGCCAACACTTTCCATTTTCAGTGGGACATAAAAGATGCCAATGCCAGATGTGAGTCAATTTTTGATTTTATTCTTAAATACAGTATCAAGATATTTAACAAGGGTAACGAAGCTACATTTCAGAATAAGAACAGGTAGGAGGTCATTGATCTCACCTTTACTAACATGAATCACTTTCATTAAACTGGAAGTTATCCTCCGAGTGTTCTTTCATGGATCACCGGAGGATAAAATTTCGGATTCCTGTAGAGTGATTTCATCACAAACCAAGGAAAGCTTGCATTCCCAAAGCTGGTAAACCAAGTCATTCACTACCAAAGTATTACAGGTCTACTAGTCGTTCATCCTTTCCACTAAATATCTGTACTATCTACGACCTCGATAAACAATGCTCAATAGGTATACATAAAAGGTAGATCTTTGGATACATCGAGAATAACTTTAATTGCTCCTGTTTCACTTTGGAAGCCTTTCTCGACATTGAAAACTCGGTATACCATTACTTCTCACTGAGTAAATCGATGTTATGCTCAGTAGCAGAATCATCAATTCACGCATCGGTAAACCACAAATAGGTATCTTGTCACCACTACTTTGGCTTTTGGGTAATTTTTGACATATAAAAAGATCTGGAACAAAACGGAACTAAAGTCGTGGTTCTGTTGATTGCAGAAATGGAGTCACGTTGAGCCTTTCTTTGGAAGCCAAATATATCCATACTGTTCTCGGCCAATGCATTAAATTGGAAAAGGAATCAAAAATACATATCTATATCGAGGAGCTTGCGAAGAGGGACTTAATCGCACTCTACTATTTGGGGAAAAAGCTGAGGATTTTAACCGCGTATTATCAAATGGTCATGAATGAGTCAAATGTCCGTCCGATTCTAACTAAATATGGAAAACTTCAAGAGAAGCATTCAATGAGCAGGACCTCTACTAATCACAGTTGAATTCAGCACACCTCAATCTGCACTGGACACCCTACTTAACTTAAATACTTAGGCTCTTTTTGGAGAGGAACAGGCACCTAGGTGTGCCCTGATACTCAGCGAACTTCGACAATGGTGCAGTCAGTCCTTTTACATTCTGCTATTTTAAAGTATATGGAGTACACAGGATGTCGAGTCATAGCCACATATCACCTAGGCTGGACTTCGAAAAACCATAGAATGATCTTTGAAAGATCTGAAAATAGTTCTGTCTTACAACTCATCCATCTAATTTATGCCTTATACTTACAATGCTGCTAAATTTTAGTATTACCTGACCTTTTCAATTTTAGATTGTATTAATCCTGTCAGCACTAGCTTTTTGAACTCCATTGTAACATTTAGCACTGATGTATTTGCAGTTACTTTCACTCTTTTCACTTTATATGGATCTAACGAAATCCATTTCAGGCCGGGTACATCTATAGATAATTAATTGTTATTAACGATTTAATGTAAATCCATTGAGGTCAAATTAATTTACCGTTAATGCCACTTATTAAAATATTTTGCCACAACGTTTTCATACACTCGCCATTGTCTGGATCATGTAATTTGCAGGGAACCAAAGAAGAAGAAGCTAAAATGTTATATGAAATGAATGTAAATATTTCGAATCTCATTTTCAATTTATCTAATCCACATATGTACATGATTAGTCTGCCTCTCCATTTGTTACAGCAACCGCCGTTACGCAAAGAATCAATAGTTGTGTAAAATAATTTTTATGCGATTTGTACTTCATTTTTTACCGAACTGCTTGAACTTGTAATTCAAACTGATTATTAGTTTGCTGAAACTAAATGGCTAGAACTGCCAATCATCTAGATTTCCATACATTTTGCAATGACTTTGTTTGAAAACTCGTTTCTTTCATAACTTTAAAAAGCGGGCCTTTGGTTGGTGAACGCCGAATGATATTCGCCCTCTATTTAGTCATTAAGTTTTCGATTAATTTGTTTACATTTTTGAAACCAGTTATGGTGTCAAGAAGATCTACACAAGTTTTAGGAAAACATTTTTATTAATTTTAAAAAATACATTTTCAATCCCATTTATATATGTCAATTAGAAACTTAAGAAAAAAAAAATTAAAAATTAAGCAAAAGTTTTGTACTTTTTCTTAAAAATCTTAATTATTCATGTCTTGTAAAAAATGTAGTTTTAGTACAAAGTTGAATCGAATCGTTTGTATTTGAGCATATTCGTTTTAATTTTGGTTTTTATAAAGATTTTCAGAGCTTTCGTCCATTTCCGAAACGCTTTGATATGTCATTATTTCCATAACCGTTACCATATAAAACAGCTGTGAAAACTGATATATATTAATAAGTTCTAATTTATATTTTTCGTCCGAAGAAATCTGTAAATAATATCTGTTCAGGATTTCAGTGCCACTAATCAATAACATTAGTGTGTGTACGGTTAAAGTTATGGATATGACACGGTCACATCTAACTATACCTTAAATTTTCATTTAGGAATTTTGCTGCTTTTGGCAACCATAATAAATTCCAAATTTCTCAAAAATCAAGGCCTATGTAAGGTCGCCCAAAAAACAAATTTCTAACGTTCATGTCAAGAAAATTTAGAATTAATTTAAACATTTTGAAAGGAAATCTGAATAAATAGTATCTGAAAAGGAAAAATTGTGCGGGTTTTTACTTAAAAATTTGCAAAATATTCCGAAAGAAAGAGGTTCCTGGAAGGTATACTTTATTTGGATTCCAAACAATGAAGCGTCGAGGGCAGAAGGGAGTAATGTTTGCCAGGTAGAGTTTAAACCTACGTCTTCTCTATAATCTCAACACTTCATCGTTGGTCATGAGGTGAAATCTCGCAAGAGATTTAGACTGCTGCCCATAGCTTTACAATAAATGGAACTTCCACTGGAAGATATTGATGAGAACTTAAGTTAAGGTCCACTCCTTCCGGTACGTATCCCACAAAAGATATCTCTCATAACAAATACAAATCAACGATTCGTTTCAAATTTTGTGAATACGGAAAAATAAATACGAAAAAAATCAAAAATTTGACCATGGCCAATATAAGGTCGGCCAGTAAGACCATCTGACAACCAAATTTTCTGTCCAAATATATTCTGAATTCGCCCTATGAAAACAAAAACAAAGTTGTGACGTTCTTGTCAACAAATTTCCAAATAATTTAAATTATTAAAGGAGTTTGAACATTTGTCTATAAATCTATATATATAAAAGGAAGTTGTGTTAGTTACTACGCTTATAACTTAAAAACCGCTGGACAGATTTTAACGATTCATACAAATTCGGAATTGTATCCTTTCCGAAAAGGATAACATCCAAAAAAATCGCGTAAAAATGTGATATATTAACATTTTCATTTTGACTTTTGAAATGTACAATAGTAATGTTTTATTTTGCATGATTTTTTCCATTTTGACTTACTTTTTTCTAATGTACATTTGTAGTGTTTTTTATATTTTATTTTAGAATTCGAATATTAATACCAATTTATTAAATTGATTTGATTTCTTGAGAACTGATATTGATGGCTGGTTACATGGAAGTGTAGTACCGAATTATGTGGTGGTGAAACGGAATAGAGGATATTGAAATAATTTAACGCGGTCACACCAAAGTTAAAAGATAATTACTTTTTCAAAATCGCTAAAAACTCACGAAAAAGAGATCTCATTGCAAAAATTCTCAAATCGGGAAAAACTCTAAAAAAATTTTCAATGGAATCGAATTTTAAAACAATTGTACTATTCTATTGACAAACTTTTTAAGGATCTTTAAACATTTGCTGTAAAAAATCAGCGAATAAGGTGAAGATTTTTTCAATTTGTTATTCTTCTTTTGTAATTTTTTTTCAATTTGTATTATCAGTGTATCAGTGGATTTTTTGTGAACAAAATAAAGAATAATTTTTCACTATATACAATTTTTAACCAATAAAATGAAATAAGTGCGAAATAGGATGTTAACTGACATCCTGGAAGATGCGAACGCATTAAAAAAAAAAAAAAAAACAAAAATGACCGAATAAACCTAATGTGGCTCATTTCAAAGCGTGGTCCAATGAGAGCTCAAAATGCTAAATTCTTTGGGAGAATAATCAGTAAAATACCAAATATAAAAGGTGCAAAATAGAAGAGCGAATGGGACTTTTAGTAAGAAAAGCTTTTATATCCTTCCAGAAATTCTTCCCAAACATTCAAAATACCTTAAATCACTTTTGCAGGTCTTTATATCGATCATAACTCACGGATAAGGGAACAACCCGATTTCATATTTATATAACCATCTATGATTTAAGCTATTTTTGGGGTCTTGGCCACTTTTTTCATTTTTTGGCCCTTATTTGGCTTTTTTTGTTTCTAAGGGGGTAGAGAACCTCTTCGCATAAAATTTGAAATTTCCAGAGTAGGACCCATATTGGTCTTGACCACATTCATCAATTGATTTGGCTAACAATTTTTATTAATATCACCCTGGGGTAGGGAACCATCATACAGATAATTGCCACATAGGAATTTATTTAAGTAAAGTCCCCACATTGGAGTATCCCCAAGTCCACTTTCACATCTAATGTGTGGTCAGAAAAGAAAATTTTGTATTCTATTGAATTTGTAACCCCCAAGAGAAAATTGGTTTGGAACGTAGATTTGGGATGTACATCTATATGAAATAAGTTGTGGAAACATGAACAAATTACAAATATAAGAAAGTAGCACGGGACCGAATATTTGTTGAGTCATCATTGAATTATACTATGATGAAAATATGAACTTTAAGGGGTCTCCAACTTACAATTTAAATGGCAAATAAAATTAATTCCCATCTTATCATTCTGCCCTCAATTATGAGGTGGATAAAACTATTTTTACTTATTTAAATCACGCGAAATGCTATGACATGCTATATTGTTCTGCTATATTTTTGATTTGGCCTCTATTTGTCATCTTGGATTATAAGTTTTCAGTGTAGGTCGATGTTTCAGAGTAGTGCTCATATAAAGAAGGTACCTCCTAATTTTACCATATTTCAAAGAATTTGGCTAATAATGTGTATAAGGAGGGTGAAAATCGTACACAAAAATTTGAATATATCTACAAATTTGAGAATTTTCTCCATGTAATAATACCCTCTCAAGTCCACCTTTTGGCGGACAAACAGACCGACATGGTTAGGGGGACTTATAAGGACTCTAATGTACAATCTAAGGTGCTAATGGGTTTAATAAGGTAATTAACTTTGGCTATTCTTAAATCATTCAGCCCTCAACTATGTAGTATACAAAATACAGTAAATTCCAAATTATTGCTCATTTGACTGGAAGATTTTGCTACGATTTTTACCATATTAAAAATTAATGTGGTCCCATACATGGCGATAAGATTGATATATACTTTTTAATAGATTTGTATAGCACATCCACACAGTTGAAGCCCACGGTTTAAATATTTTAAAACACTTTTAATCGACCTGTACGTGAACACTTATATCAGTCATATCTGTGAATAATTAAGCTTGGACAAATATGCATAATAGACAAAAACTACGGGCCGGCAACGCGGACCGGGCCAGCTAGTTATAAATAAACAGAAAAATGTGTGAATTTTGAAAATGAGAATTTGCCGAATATGCAGAAAGAAGGAGTTTCCAGGAAGGGGTACACTTTTCGGTTCAAAAGGATGAAATGTCGAAGGCAGAATGGAGTAAAGTTTGCCAGTGAGAATTTAAAGCAACGTCTTCTGTATGCTCTGAACACTTCGACGTTGCTGATGTGGTGAAATCTGGAAGAGACTATTTTCCCGATAATATTCTGGAGGGTATATGAAAGCCTTGGGCACGCAAACATTTTGGCCGCAGACCTTGGACATTCTAACAGGACTCAGCACCATTGCACTCAGCACGAGCCACCCAAGAATGGTTACAAAATGAGGTTCCTTGCTTCATTTCCAGCGCACAATGGCCAATAAAATCTCCGGATATTAATCTGTTGGACTATTGTGTCTGGAGTATTTTGGAAAGCAAGGTTGGCACTAAATAAATACCAAAGTGTTGATCACCTCAAGCAAGAGCTTCGCTGGGAATGGACCAAGATACCGCAGAACAACATTCAGGCAGTTTCATTAGCCGTTTGAAGGCCATAATTCGTGCCAAAGATGACCAATTCAAGCAAATGTAAACATATTATAAAATGTGACGCTATTGCCGACATCTTTTGCTTTCATTCAATAAAATGTTGTAAATGTTGTTGTAAAGTATGGCGTTTGACTTTGTTGCAGTTTTTTTATCTCAACCTGTATGAATAATTGATAGGTATAACATTTGATACGGCAAAAACGTGTCGCATCGAAACAACGGTTCGAGGTCTCTTTGGACTAATCCGTTTCAGGACATTTGGAATCGATCTAGAGGTGTCTTGCCGAAGGGAGCCCCCGATTTGGCTTAGAAAACTTAGATCGAGTTCGTAGATGAGCAGTATTGTTCCAATCCTACTGGTACCTACTTAAAAAGGGCCAACAATTTCAAAGAAAATAATTTAACTAATACAAAAAAACAGGTCATCCAATTTTGTTAAAACTCTCCATGTTAGTGCCAGGACGACATCAGTCTACTCTCTCAGGTACCTCCCCCACAACGGGTCAAAATTTTCAAAAATTTATCTATCATAAAATGCATAATAATCATGTCTCCCACACAAAAGTCGACGTTCTGATACATGATGTTGTCCTTTTGGTTGTTTTCATTTGTTGGCAATTAACAAATTTGCCGTGATTACTAGATGTCAGGGCGAAACAAGTTGTTTCGCCTAGAAAAAACAAAAAATTGGCATTAAAATTAACAGACGGAGCTGTATTTTTTACCAATGCGCTTCCTGGCCGACCTTATATAGGCCATGAATTTGACATTAAACTTAATAGAAAGAGCTGTATTTTTTACAAATTCGCTTCCTGGTCGACCTTACATAGGCCTTGTGAAAAATGTTAAAATAAAATTGAAAAATGTCAATGCGACTTCCTATTTTTACCTATTTTCTATTTTTCTGAAACCAAAATGTATGTGATATACAAAAATATTTGCTCTAAATATGTTTTCAGTCGACAAATTTGCGAACGAATGGGAACATATTGTTACAAGACCAGGCTGTAAGACGCAAAATCGAAATGTTTGTGTTATATTCGAAAAGAAGGTTTGAAACTCATTCATCGCCAAAGCAAAGTCCGTAATAATTCATATACATGGACAGACTAAGCCTAGCTTCTAATAAATAGTAGGGGCGAAATATTATTAATGTCTAAGTGACTTCTAATAGAGTAAACTTCATTAGCAAACTCTGATAATTTTATAACTATAATGAGGTAGCAAAGTTCAAAAATACAAGTTCTACAATGCAGACTTGTGATTAATAATGATTAATCGTTGTATTGGAAGTTAGTTTTAAACAAACATGCGCATTTACCAAATTTAAGGTTGAACATAATTGCACTTAGTATTTCTAAGTCATCGATAAATCGATCTACGCATTTCAAAACCATCCACCATAAAGTGGAGACTACTTTATGTTAGTCATTGCGTTTGCAACTATTATATATTACAGATTAGTCTTGAAAAATGAAACATCGCTATCAATTTCCAACCAAACCAGCTGTAATTTGACATTTTGGATTATATGTGAATAAATTCAGTCTTGGTAAAATGATCAATTTAGGCTTCCATTTTACAAAATTTCTAATATTAGTGACGTTCTTCGTCATGCATATTATTTAAAATTATGGTGAGGTTAAGGACACAAGCAAAAATCTTAAAAAAAAAAACAAATACAAAAGCTGTAAATTCGGCCGGGCCGAACTTTGAACACCATTTGGTACAAATTTAACAATTTAAAAAAAAATTAAATCCGTTAAAAATTCTGTTAAAATCTTAAAAATACCGAATGTAGCCGTATATTAGGGTATATGCGACGACATGAAACTGCGTAGGCATCTTTTGTCACAAGCTATTACAATATTCAAATGCGAAACTTAAAAAAAAGCCGTTTATAACGTAGCTAAAATCATCATCAAAACACCGAATAGAGGGAGGTACCATTGGGGTTAGAAAACGTGGACCTGCACAGACAATTTTCTGTCATAGGCTGTAGTATCCATTACAAATTTCAAATACAAAATTTGAAATAATTTCGATAAATAATGTTGCTAAAATCATCAATATACCGAATATTGGGGGTATCGTTATATGGGGGCTATACGAAGGCGTGGACCTACACAGGCAATTTTCTGTCATAGGCTGTAGTATTCATCCATTACGAACTTCAAATACCAAAGTTGAAACAATTCTGGTAAATAATGTCGCTATAATCATCAAAATACCGAATATCGGGGAATATAGTATGCCACCCCGTTTATGACAAACTTGACCTTGTTATATTTTCGTATGACGTGTGGCAGATTTTAAAAAATATATATATATATTAAAAGTCTTGTATTTTCATCATTTCTTGGCATATCTTTGGAATACCAAATTTATTTATCTTCTCTTGGACTTTCAAACACTTCATCCGGTTATGTTTTTGTTCTTGTGTAGGCCTCGAATGAGATTTTACTTTAGGTCAGCCTTTACCAGCTGAAAATGTTGCAAATTCTTCACAATACCTGTTATATGGATTCTGTATTAAAACGAAAACTTACGCTGACAATTTCTTGTAATGAAGTTAATGCCAATTTGACTAAAAATTAGGTATGTTAATCTTTGATCAATATTGTAGCCAACAAGGAGTGGTATTGTCTTCATACTTGTCCTAAGCGAAAAGAAAACCATTCCATAATTAAGTCTTACATGACTTATCGGACGAATACTTCAATTTTCTGTTTTAGACTATATTCTTCCTTGACTTTTATACACTCGAAAAGGCGTGAAAATAACAAAAATAACGCAAACATTTAAGGAAGAACTACAAAATATAAATTTGACAATGAAGGGACATAAAATAACAAGATTGTGATCATATGATAGCATTAGATTACCTTGGTACCATGATTGAACCCTTATTTATAAGCTTAAGCTTGTTATTCTAGAATAAGCTTAAGAAAGTAATATAATTTAAGCTCATTTTTGTAATGGTATAGAAATACATATTTTTTTTTGTATTTTTTATTCATTTCATCCATTTAATTTATTGATGGCCATTCCCAGCTGTCTCTGCCTTCTTTGACAGTCGCTGTTTTCCCCAATTTGAGCTTCTCCATCTTCTCCACAAATATTACACTTCCATTGAATTCCCCCAACTTTTTCCATGCCTCCAACCTGAAATGAAATTGAATGATAATGTATACCACAGATTCCAAAATTAGTCCAGAATTATTTCGTCAAAATTTCAAAAATCGGTTAAGAATGTTATGTATCTAAAACTGTAAACAATAAATTTTCAATAAATTATTTGAATTTCAAAAATGTTAATTTTTGGAAATATACGACAATATAACCTAATGTAGTGTCGCTGTTCTTTAACCGCGAAAAAACATATGTCCATATTGCCCTGATCTAAAATTGTATATATATTTTATATCAAGAAATGGAATTAAATCACTTGCAATAATTGTAACATGAGTAGCCCTGTTACTGTTTTTTACGTAAGCACACGCATTAATTTATGCAGGGCCAATAAAATAATGACACATTCATAACTTCAAAAATGTTTTTCCCAAGAATTTTTCTACAAAAATTTCGCATAAAAGACAAAAAAAGTACAAAACGTGGCATCAAAACTACAACCGTTAAATACGATACTGACGAATCTGTAAGGTCGGCTTTATTGGAGATATTAATTTATGTGATTTTTCTAATAACTACAACAATCGGTAAAATCTGAGGAAGATAAAATTATGGACTATAATTTGTATCCGCTTTTCGTATTTTTTTATTTCAGTGGCCACGGCATCACGTCACCTGTACATGTTCTATTTAAACCAAACTTTGGAAAAACTATTTACCGGACGAGAAATGGAAACGAATTATGGTGTGGAAGTTCGTTTTGAGGAACTGGTTACAACCGCTGATTGGTGGAGCTTTTTACAATATAAATTTCTGGATGATTTGCACGGTGAAATGTTGAGTTCCACGGAAAATGAAACATTTTCGTTAAATAATAAAACCAATGGCAAAGATGGATTGGCAAAATGGCAGAGGGTGGTATTAAAAGATAATATTCTTCTTGGACCGCCACGCTTAAGACAGATCCGTGTTAAAGAAAACACCTGTCATGTCAATGAAGCATTTGTGAGGTATTTTAACTCCTGCTATGGTGAATATGATAGAAAAATAGAAGATCGAAGTCCTGTTTATAAAAAGTAAGTACGTTTGTAATGATATTCGCACAACTATCGTTTTATGGTGGTACCAAACCAGACTGATTAAAAACTGCAGTATTTTTTACATGAAACTTACTGAACTCCGTTATTTCAAAATGAGAAGAAAAAGCTTGTTAGAACATATCACTGCCATGTTGAGAGGTTAAAGCAAATTGGTTAATTATTCATCATGTTATCAGAGTAATGATTATTTAAAATTATGACTTTTTGGGGAGTAGTATCCTAACCAGTAAACATTGTACATTTTCATACCAGTTATAATCAAAATATCAGGAAAACTTCAAATCTATTATAAGTGTTTTGATTATACAAAATGTTGATTCATTGTAGGGGACGGTTCTGTTTCAGCTTTCTATGAGAAATATGATTTCAGTTTGAACAAGTAAGAAAGCAGATAGTTCGGCCGCACCGAACTTTTATTACCATCCACCACTTGGAAGGAATTATTCTAAACACTGAATATCGGGTGGTACATTTATGTGGAGGCTATGCGAAAGCGGAAAAATACAGAACATCGGAAAGTAACATTATATCAGGCATATAGAAAGATGTGGACGTTCATGAAATTTTCTGTTATAGGAAGTGGTACCCATTACGAATTCTAAATTTAAAAACAATTCCGGTGAAATATTCTTCGAGCCTTCAGTGCATCTCAACAGAATTATATCAATCTACTTCATTTCTTTGGGAAGCTAGACTGATTTCCACAGACGAAAAGATGGACAGGGAGACGGAAGGACATGGCTAAATCGACATGGAATCTTATGCTGATCAAGAATACCGGGTGAGATAAAAAAAACTGCATCAAAATCACACATTTGGCACAAATTATGGCCTTCAAACGGCCAATGAAACCGTCACACGCAGCCCGAATTTTGCTCTGCGGTATTTTGGCCAATTCCCGGCGAAGCGATTGCTTGAGGTGATCGACACTTTGGTATTTTTTAGTGACAACCTTGCTTTCCAAAATACTCCAGACACAATAGTCCAACGGATTGGGATCCGAAGATTTTGGTGGACATTGGACCATTCTTGGGTGGGTAACCATTCCTGTAGGAATGTCCAAAGTCTGCGGCCAAATGTTTGCATGCCCAAGACTTTAATACACCCTCCAGAATATTTCCCGATAATTTTCGGCATTTATTCCTATGCCACGGTCGATTAATACGAACGGAGAGCGACCATCGGCTCTTATGGCGGCCCACACCATCACCATGGCCGCCGCTTGAGTTCTGGTGGCCAACTGAAGGTGCACATTTTCAGCTGACCTCTTTGGCAAGTAAACACGATCATTTTATTTGTTCACAAACTGCTGGACAACGAATGTTTTCTCATCGGAGAAAACCAAATTCCGTCCACTTCCTTGACGTCGGACTACGCTACCAGAATCATGGTAACGAGCGATGGGACGAGACACAAGATATTTATTCACATTTAAATGGTGGAGTGCTCCAACGATAGCCACTTGTGGTTTTCCATCCAAATACAAAGAAATCACACTATCACGCTTGAATTCCATCACGAATAACTTTGTTTCTAGAAAATTCTCAACAAAATACTTTTGTACGCTTGTAAACTATATAATGAACTGTCACTGGAATAATTTTAACAGCTGTCAGACGAGTGGCTTAGAAATAAAGTTGGTTGCAGTTTTTTCATCTCACCCTGTATGTATATTTTGTGGGGTTTAAAATGCTTGTTTCGAGGAGTTCGTCAGCTTTTAATCAAATTCGGTGAGAATCAGTTTTGGATCACATGACCAAGTTCAGACTAGACTAATGTGAGTAAGTTTGAAATATATTTACTTTACAGTAGTTTTAGTAACAGTAACATACGCTCTTTAACAGTCAAATAATATTTAAATTAGCTGTTACATATAATCTTAGCAGATCAAGCGAAATGTACATTTGTCCTCGATATAAAAAATACAATATTTTGCAGTTTAAAGTTGCAAATGCTGTATTAATCTGATTTGGAACTTTGTCAAAAAATTCAAGTCTAAATTGTTAATGTGAAACTTTTTTGCCAATTTTAACAGTACCAAATTTTACACCGTTTCACAATTAAATGTAAATCCAATACGAGGTGAAATTAAACGTTATTATGGCGCTGGTCATGTTCAAAACTTATCATACGAGAGAATGATAAATGAAGAGATTTTTGAGACATTGAAATCGTCAAAGTGGATAGATCGTGGTACAAGAATAGTAGTTGTAGAATTCGTTTTATTTAACTACAATTCGCTGATGTTCGATAATGTAAAGTGAGTAAAAAACTCCCCCAGCTTATAATAATTTCAGAAGCTATTTCCGATTACAAAGCAAATCTTAGTTACTATTGTCTATTTGTCATTTCAAGGTCTATTAACATATATGCAATAAACTAAATATGTAATCGGTATTGCCTCTACTAAATTATGACAAATAATTTGAAAAGAATTTAATTTATGTAAATTTATCTAATATCGTTTGTTAATGTAGAATATTGGCGGAACTACCACCAGTGGGGGGCATCGTAACCTCTCATCAATTTCAAGCAGTCAAGCTACATTCGATATGGTCAGATGCCGATTATAGCGTTTTTATAGCTGCCATAATATTTTATTTGATGACAACTTTCTATACTTTTGAAGAGATTGGTGAATTAATAACCATTGGAAGTGTGAAGTATTTAAAATCAGTTTGGAATTTGTTAGACATTTCGGTGTTGCTGGTGAGTATTTTAAAACAATAATTTAATTTAATCAGTTAAATTCAATCAATTCAATTTGAAATGCATACCACAATACCAATGGTATAATTTATTTATGTATTCACAATCATAAGTAGTATAAAAATGTATATAAGAGTAAAGCAGAGGGTTTCGTTTTCCGAAAAAAAATTGAATGGTCTAAAACAGTACTAGCATTCGAAAAACTAGAATTCTTAAACCAGGGTAACGGTCAGTTTAAAATTTCATATATACGAAATAACAAAAAAATTCAAAATTAAAATGTACTAAATACACTATGCCATTGCAAAGTGGTCCCTAACCGTGACAAAAATCAAAAACCTGAATGACACAAATTATTACTATAGCGCTGTAAATATTCTCATAACATATTCCATTTTATTATTCCAATAGCATTTGGTAACCCAAAGCAGAGAATGTTTTTTTTATGATTTTGGAAAAACTTAATGCATTCACTGCAGTATAGCAGTATAGTATGTTTAAAAATTAAATCACACCGAATGTTAGATTTTAATCTATAATTTTTAGAATGCACGTTATGGTTAATTGTGCTATCAATAGTTTTCGCTCAAAGACATTCAAATTTTCGCCACTCTCAAAATTTTTTTCATGATACTGCATTTGTGGTTCCTAATAGTGTTTCTAAATGTCTCTTAAACCATTAAAATTCGGCAAATATTGAGGTACATTTGTATGGGGCGTATGCAAAAACAGTTGGACTTTTTTCAATTGCCAATTTTCAGCACATCAATTTGTTACCCTATCTCAAGATTTAAATAGGTTGTAGGGTTGTATGGAAGATATATCAAGATGTGGACCATATTAACATTATTTGCAAAGACATCAGGTACCCAAAAAAAAAAAAACACTAAATGTCCAACTACAGTGCATTTTAATTTAAAATTGACCTAAAATCTTCATCCCTAAACGTGGACCAATCTTCACAATGTTTTTTAAATTATTTTTATTGGTTTGTATGAAAACATTTTTGTCACACCACCGTGCATTGTAGTGAACATAAATGGTTATTTTAAGTCTTGCATCTAGAAGCTGTCGGCCAATAATTTTTGTGTGCGCTCCTGAAGAAGTCCGATATAAATATTACTTCGAATCAAGTTAGGATTGTATCATGTATTCGCTCGTTTTATATGAGTTGAGCAAAGTTTGGGTAATATCTAGCTATGTAATTATAATACGGAATGTTGACCTTTCGGGATCTTTAAATCGATCTAAAGTTACAGTGTGTTACGTTTGAGCTTACCGCTCCCTTCAGACAGTATGACATTAACTATTTGTTAAGGCAACTGTGAAATATATATAAGAAATATAAGAAATTTGAAGAAAATCGGAGACTAAGTTCACTGTTACGATTGGCCAATTATGAAGAATATGGGGTACTCCTATCGTCCAATATGAGATTCCCACTTTCGTTTGGAAAAAAATTGAGTCTTTGTGGGACAGGTATCAGAAGGATACCAAGAACATGGTTAGATTTCGTCCAAAGATACCTATTATCTAAAGTCGTTATTGCGATGAAGCATATGTTGACCGTATGAAATGATTTAAAACCTCAGTATCCATAAGGTCAGTATCCATAAGGATGAGGATATAATCCTAAAAGTGAAATACCTTCAAACAAATAGTAACAAGTTGTAACGATTTTGGTATGGGCCGCCATAACAGCCGGTTGTCGCTCTCCGCTCGTATTAATCGACCATGGCATTTTGGCCGCAGACCTTGGACATTCCAACAGGACACAGGATCATCGCACTCAGCACGCGCCATCCAAGAATGGATACAAAATGAGGTTCCTCCCTTCATTCCCAGCGCACAATGGCCACCAAAATCTCCGGATACCAATCCGTTGGAATATTGTGTCTGGAGTATTTAGGAAAGCAAGGTTGGCACTAAAAAATACCAAAGTGTCGATTACCTCAAGCAAGCGCTTCGAGTAACGTGTAACGGTTTCATTGGCAGTTTGAAGGTCATAATTCGTGTCAAAGGTGACCAATTCGAACAAATCTAAACTTAATCTAAAATTTGATGCTATTTCCGACATATTTTAATTTCATTCAATAAAATTTAAAAAAAATTATGGCGTCACCCTGTAAATGTTTATGGTTTACGAGTAGCTCAACTAAATATGCATAGAGGTGCAAAGCATCATATAGTTTGCCCGCCCTTCTTTTCATCTTTCGTCAATGGTTAAAATATGAAATTAGTGTCCATTTTTTCGCAAACATCAATCTCATATAATCTCAATATTAGAACTGATGTCAACTACCGTCAAGTTGTTTTGGTACCTCCGCTCCAAAACTCAAAAATTGACCAAACTACAAGCTTAGATCAAATAATACGTTGAGGGTATATATCGTCAGCACTTTCTAACTTGTTTTTGTGAAACTATATATGTTTAAACGAAATTGTGTAAGGTTGACCCCAAATTATATACTCACTTGCTGATTTCAAGTCAATTCGACTGATGAATTGTGTCAATTTGGTAAAAAAAATGTTGACAAAACTCGAATAGTAATTTATCTCAAAAATCATTTCGTATAGAAAAAAGATATGGTGAATTAATAGTCTCCCATAAATCTCTTGACCAAATTTTATTTATGCTTACAAAACCTTGATGTAAATATATTTATTCTTCAATATTTTAGATGTCATATTTATCCCTAATCTACAACATGTTCCACCATAAATATTTGAATGGTATTCTGGAGAAGTCAAAAGAAAATCCCAATCATTTTTGGAGTATTGACAAAATATGCTTTTGGAATCTCTTGTACATTGATATGATGGGTATATGTGTATTTTTGGTGTGGATCAAAATCTTCAAATATATTAGCATCAATAAAACAATGTTGCAATTTAGTACCACTTTAAAGAGGGTAAATATGTAAAGTCGACAAACAACATTAAAATATAAAGATACAAACTTTACGTTGCAGTGTGCCAAGGATTTGTGCGGCTTTGCAGTTATGTTCTTTATTGTTTTCCTGGCCTATGCCCAGCTCGGTCTTTTAATATTTGGCACCAGTCATCCTGATTTTAGAGAATTTGGCATTTCAATTATAACGCTGATGCGTATGTTTTTGGGCGATTTCGAATATGAATTGATTGAAGAGGCCAATCATATTTTGGGGCCTATTTATTTCTTGAGTTATGTTCTGTTTGTGTTCTTCATTTTGCTGGTAAGTTTTAGATTTCAATTAAATAATAATTACAATATACAATTATGTAATTTTCATGAAATGTATGGAACATTGATTTTAATCATTTTCCTTTTTTCTAAAGAACATGTTTCTGGCAATAATAAACGACACTTATGGCACTGTAAAAGATGAAGTGAATCAGGGGTACTCCAAGTTTGGCCCATACTTGGCGAAAATACTTCAAAAATGCTTTTGGTGGAGGAAAAAAGATCCAGAACATAATATATTAAAACACACTAACGATTCTAAGGGTCAGTTATCGCTCAAGGACAGCAACGGCCATAGCTCAGATACATTTTACCCTATGACAAATGAAGGTTCTTTGCCTGAAGATGACACTTTACGTTTACGCATAAGTGAATTGATTAGAGAGTGAGACTTAAGTCTTTGTAAAATTATTGCTCACTGTCTGTATGTATTTTTAGATATTTCGAATATCTGCCTTTTAATGAAAATCGTCTGCAACGTGTTCACTTAAATGCAAAGGAAAATGATGACATACGACGGTAAGTAAAATTGTATCTTCTGAGAGGTTTATACTGTGTTCTAAGTTAATTCAGCCTTGCTCATCCGTCTGTAAACATATTACTCAACTCTATCTTGGCTCTGTAGAATCGTTGGAAACAGAAATGGTCCCATATTTTCTATGTATGGCTTCTCTTGGATTTTAGCAACAACCTTCTATCGAATTTTCTGTAAGTCATCAGTTTGTGTGTGTTTTAACTACATTTTTATACCCTCCGCCTTGGAAAGGAGGGAATATTAACTTTGTTATTCAGTTTGTAACATGTCTAAATATTCGTCGTAAACCCCATAATGTATATATATTCAAAATCAGCATAAAATTCTAAGTTGATTTAACGACGTACGTCTGTCTGTCTGTTGAAATCACGATACAGCCCACATTATTTGGCTTAGAGCGCCAATTTAGCAGGGCAATTTGTATTGTATCTGGGATGGTTGGTATTGAAAATGAGATATATCGGTCCACGTTTTGGTATAGTCCCCATATAACGGTACCTCCTGATATTCGGTATTTTGACGATTTATGCCACATTTTTTCACGGATTTGTCTGAAAATTGATATTTTTAGGTCATAACGGGTCCTAGTTCGTGTGGCGAGATATTACATGTATAGGTCCACGCTTTGGTATAGCCCCATATAAGGGTACCTCCCGATATTCGGTATTTTGATTATTTTTGCCACATTTTTTCACGGATTTGTCAAAAAATTGGTATTTGTTGGTCATAAAAGGTTCCAGCTCCGGTGGCGAAACATAGCATGTATGGGTCCACGATTTGGTATAGCCCGCATATAGCGGTAACTCCCGATATTCGATATTTTGACGGTTTTCGTCAGATTTTTTCACCGATTTGTCTAAAAATTGATATTTTTAGGTCATAATGGGTCCTAGTTCGTGTGGCGAAACATTGTATGTATAGGTCCACGTTTTGGTGTAGTCCCCATATAACGGTACCTCCCGATGTTCGGGTTTTTGATGGTTTTTGACACATTTTTTCACGGATTTCTCGAAAAATTGGTAGTTTTTGGTCATAATGAGTCCCAGTTCGTGTGGCGAATCATTTAATTATAGGTCCAAGTTTTGGTATAGTCCCCATATAACGCTACCTCCCGATATTCGGTATTGTGATGATTTTTGTCACATTTTTCACGGATTTTTCTGAAAATTGGTATTTGTAGGACATAATGGGTACTAGCTCCTTTGGCGAAAAATTCCATTTATAGATCCAAAATTTGATATAGCCCCCATATAACGGTACCTTCCGATATTCGGTATTTAAATGGTTTTTGTCACATTTCTTCGCGGATTAGTCTAGAAATTGGTATTTTTTGGTCGTAATGGGTTCTAGCTCTTTTGGCGATACATTGTATGTATAGGTCCACGTTTTTGTATAGCCCCATATAGCCTATTTCCCGATATTCGGTATTTTGATGATTTTTGGAACATTTTCCCATAAATATGTCTAAAAATTGGTATATAGGCTCTAATGCTTCCTTTACCCTAAGGTAGAGTGTATTAAAAGTTTGGCCCGGCCGAACTTAATGTTTTTTTTACTTGTTCAATATAAATTTTTCTTTCAAATACATAATAACATAAATAACATATACCACACAAATGCAGGATTTCTGTACTCATAGGCACGTGTAAATTAAAGTTAATTGTTACCCTCCAAATGATGGAAGAATTGAACTTGCGATCATCTGTGAGCTTGTCTAACCAAAAATGTAGTTTGCCTAACCAAATATGTACGTTTTTATGAGCATGTAACTGTAAACCCGGTAAACTTTTCGTATTTTGCATGTTTATTCCCATACTATGTTATAACAAATAACTTTGTCATTACATTTATAACTCCTCAAAATGCTGATGTTAAAGCCAACAAAGTATATATATTCTTGATCATCGTAAATTTCTAATTGGATTTAGCGATGTCCACCTTGTTCTTGCTGTCTATCTGTTGTAATCGTTATCTTTCGAACGAATTGAGATAGAAGTCAAAAATATTTACACTGGAGTATTTTGACTCTAGGCAGAATAAGTACGTAAGTGGGCAATGTCGTTTCTAGTTTTCGTATAGCCTCTACATATCTCCGATAAGCCGCATCTTAGATTACATCTCACATTCTAACAGAATAGTTTATAATTCGGCTCATAGATTTATTAACGGGTTCTACCTCCAGTAGCAAAACATTATCTATATAGGCCCACATTTTCCTGGTACTTCAAAATGTTCGGTATTTTCACGGCTTAGATCGCATTTTCTAACATCATTTTAACATAATCATACCGCAATATATGTTTGCTTAAATACATATTGGCTTGTATTATGATGAGGTTCCAAAGAAGTGGGCCAATTTTGTCCATTTCGTATCTGTCCTAAGTCTAACATACATGTGCCAGAGTTGGACTACATCTACTTCTTTGTTCAACTTTACAAGAGATATATAATATTTTTTTGGAAAATGTAGAAATGTGCGTTAGGTTCCAGGTATATTGGACCGTAGTATTTCACTTCATCAAATAATGAAACAAAATATTGGGATGTACAAAATCTGAAGAAAATCTAACATTTATTTCCAAGTTTATGCCAATTATTCTTAAACAAAGGTATCAAAAGGAGTGAACCTATAAATTCCATATTCACATCAGATCTTGTGCCAATAAAATATTGGAGTGTTAGAAATTTAACGAGAATCGTATGCTTACTTCGCATTTATAAGCGTTTTGATTATTCGAAATTTTCACATCAAATCTTGTGTTTGAAAAATAGAAATATTGGGAAGCGTGCAATTTGAAGTGAGAGTTATAATTATTCAAAACTATGGTCCACTCCAAAAGGAGTTGTCTGACATATTTCTTCTTCCCACCTGATTATGTGCTGATAGAAATATTGGGTTGTGAAAAATTCGAAAACAATCGGAAGCTCATTTCGCGTTTTATGAGCTTCAAAGTCATTCAACATTTTGACCTCTTTGTGGGGAGGTACCAGAAGGGGTGGACCGATATATTCCATCTTCACCCAAAACTTGTGCTAATAAAAATATAGTTTATTTCGTATTCTAAAAGTTTGACCCTTTGTGTGGAAGCTACATGATGGAGTGGGTTAATATTGTCCGTTTTCGCACCCGACATAGCACTGATACAAATATTGGGACTTGTAAAATTTGAACAAAATTGGGTGATACATTCATATTCTATGCGAAAAATGATTTTCTGTGAAATATTGACCTTTTGTGGGGGAGGTTCCAGAAAGAGTGAATATATGTGTCCTATCTCCGAACTCGATCTATGTTTAACAATAATATTACGATGTGACAAGTTTGTATCAAATCAGATACTCCAGTCACACAGAGAGACGGACGGTCATAAAACCCTAGATCGACTTCAAATGTCCTGAAGCGGATTTGATTCAAGCACGTTTTGGTTGTATCAAATGATATATACGCTCTGTAGCTATATGACTGAGTGTATAATAGTTGTATTTAAAGTTTTTAATGGGTTCTATCTCCTGTGGCAGAACTTTGTCTATATAGGTACACATTTTCTAAAAGCTTCATATAAAACGACCTACCGATATTTGGACGATTTAAGCTACATTTTCAAACGAAATTGCTTTAAATTCGGTGTGTAGAGATTGTAATACATTCTGTCTTCTTTGACAAAATACAGCAGTTCAAATTCGAAGATGGGCTGTATCGGTCCACGGTATCTTATAGCCACCATATGACAGTACCTCCGATATTCGGTATTTTGATGATTTTAGCCACATTCTTGAATGAAATTGTTTGAAATCCTACACAAGGAGTTCCTTGTGAGCACTTTACCCCCTGAAAGAGAATTATCTTTATAGGTCCACGATATCACATAGCCCCTATATAAAGTTACCCCCGATACTAGAAATTTTGATGATTTTAGTCACATTTTTAACGGAATTGTCTGAAGATCCACACAAGGAGTTCCTCGTGTTCTTTGGACATTTTTTAAGTTTCTTCCAAATGGTGGAGGGTATAAAAAGTTCGGGCCGGCCGAAAATAGCTGTTTTTTACTTGTTACTTGTTTAATTTGCTATTTTACAATTTTACAATTACTTTAGCAGAAAACCGGTACCATCGACTTTACGGCATTTTAAAGACTTTTTGCCAACCGATTTCACTAGTAATAATTGAATTAGAACCAATTAAAATTTCGGTCCGGCTGAACCTAACGCGTTTTTACTTGTTTCTAAGACAAAAGTAATGAGATTTTGGTATAAAATTTACAAGATAAACTTTATTTTTATTAAGTAACGACAACACAATTTGTGTATGTCTGACTTCGAAACTTATTGTCGCTGTTTGGAATTACGAACTCAAATTTGGAAATACGAATTGAATTAGAAAGTACGAAGAGTTTGCCGATGCAGATATAACCTTTGTTGGAAGCTTGGTAAATAATTGCAACCTGTAACATATCCTTGTTAAAACGATACCAAAATGTGCTTATTAGGCCTATTATTCAGCAATGGTAATACGGAAACTACTTCGTCGGCATTATTTCTGACTTATTTGTTATGAAGAAAGTAATGTCAGATATATGTCCATATCGGAGAGACCCGAAACCCAGGCATACCGCTTACGTCTCTGGATGGCAGTTCGTACTTGCTTAACTCTCTTGATTCCTCACTTGTTCCATCTGTGGTATGATCTTGTAATATTTTAACAGAATTGCAAACAATTAATTTACAATTAAATAAAGCTGAAAAGTCCAATGCTTTTTAATTGACAATAAGTTTCAATAAGCCAGTAATAGTTAAATACAGTAAAGTTACTTATTGATTTCATAAAAAATACAATTGTCTTAATTTCCCTTTAAAGATTTTATCGAACATCCGTCTCTACTTCATTTACCCGACGTGACCAATTTGTTTCAATTTATAACAAACCAAATGCTCTAATTGCAGTTTAACAAATCGCATAACGTTGCTGGAAGATGTTCTGGAGCAACTAATTGCAGACATGGATCTCATTTTACGAAACATAGAAGGAAAGCAGAAACGAATCAGTAAAAAGGAATGAAACATACAATGTTCATATAAAATTGTTCATGATTTAAATGGGCACGATGTTCAGTTGTATGAAGTTTTATTATTAATTGTTCTTTATAGTTTATAAATTTTAATATAATAAAACAAGTAGATTACGATGAAATATTTTGTTATAATAATAACTATTAGTTTCTTTGCAGTAGAAATCGAAATCCAGACGTAAAAATGTGAATTGTAATTTTCCAAATATATAGGGTAAGTTTACCAGTAGTCGGCACTTTTAGAATTTTCGATTTTTCAATCTTTCAACACTCTGAGTGTAATCTTTCAATTGCAGAAAAATAAAGTTTTTCAGATTTCAAATTTAGTTTACTTTTCGAAATAATAAACAACAATTGAATTTGCTTTTATTAAATTGACAAAATGTGCAATTTTACCAAAATAGAAGTATTTTGCCAGTAGTCGGCACCATTTTCCAATGCTCGGCATGTCTATTTGCCAGTAGTCGGCATATGGTATTTCAGTAAAAAAATATTATTTTGTATATTTATATTTGTAAATAATGCTGTATTACTAATTCACAGAATTTGAAATTAATTTCGTTTTTAAATAGTGTTTAATTATCATTCTAAACCAAATATATGTAGAAAATAAAGAATAGTATGTTTACCTTCAGAAACGTATGGATTTTCAATTAAAATAAATAAAAAAGCAAAAAATACCATTCTTGTATTTGGAATTTGTGAATTGATCTTTTTCCTTTGGATATCCAACATTTTTTTCAAAAATGCCACCGCTGTCTAAATCGTCAAATAGCTGATTTAAAAAAAAACCTACTTAATTTAGAAAAGTTGGTCAAAAAGCACAAATAAAAGCAACTGCCGACTCAAAACTAGTTTTTTATTTGAGTAGTTATTAGATTATTTTTAGTACTTTTCTCAAGTTTTGGTGAAACTGGTCAAATATGACATTTTTCTAGTAATCGACACCCCTGCCGACTACTGGAAATCTCTTTTTTTTTGTTCCTAATGTCGGCATTAAATTATATAACAGAAAAATGCTTGACTTGTATTTTTTTAAGTTATAAAAAGATCTTTAGACTGTTATTTACTATTGTAAAATATTTCTGATTCCAAAAGTATTAAATTTAATGTACTTAAATTGATTATTAAGTTGACGCCACCACTATTTTTTCTTTACAAACAAGCACTTCGCACGGGTTGGAAGACACTCACTGACGAAAACCGTTATTCTCTCGTAATAAATGATCGGAGCTCATTGTTTTTTTACAGAAAGAGAGCAGAGAACACTGTTGACGATTTTTTGCAATTATTTCATTATTTGGTCAATACTATTCTTAGTTATTTAAGATTAAATTTCAAAACTGCCGACTACTGGGACATGCCGAACTTAGGCGCACTTACCCTATAAATCCATTACTCCAACTATTCATTATTGCATTAAAATTGATGAAATTTCCACTGTTTAAAATTATATCCCTATGTCGATAAAAGAGGAATATGTTTATTGCTTTTATCGTTTGTTTGTAATTTATAGACTTAACAACCTCTAAACAGATTTTCCTGCAAATATACTAAAGCATCGTCTGAAAGTAAAATAGGCTATATAACTTTTCGAAATTCCACTAGGATCTGGAAATATAGCACCAGAATCCGAATTATCTCCAAAAAATTAGATTATGTATGCATATATCTACTTACCGCATACATATAAAATCTCCAAATTTGGCATGTGTATCGAAATTCGGTAAAAAAAATATTTGCCAAATTATATTGAAATCGATTCAAATTTTATTGTAGCTCCCATATATGTTTTCGGCCGAATTCATGTATTTCATACACCAAACACGATATATACATATATGTCCAATTCCAATGATATTCGGAATGAATGACGGAATACGGTACAGGTATATATTTGCAAAATTATATTGACATCAGCTCAGATTTAGCTCCCATATTTATATATGTATTTCATGCATGGCATGTATATAAGTATGACAAATTTCAATAAAATTTGTTATGTGTGATGGAATTTGGTGTAAATATTAATTTGTCATATAATATTAAAATCGGTGGTGACCGATTTTGTATATTTGATGCACCAATAACGTTATGTATCACCAAATTCATTGGAATTTGGAACATGTGACGGAATCTGGTCTACAAATAAATTTGTCAAATTATATTGAAAACGGTTAAGATTTGGATATAGTTCCTATATACATTTTCGGCGATTTCCTACATTTCTTGCAACATTAAGAAATACTAATTTTCACAAAAAATATTTGAATGCTATGGATCGAACTTTGCAAGATTTGAAAAACAGCTCAGCACCTTTTGGAGCCGCATTAGTTTTATTAGCTGGAGATTTTTGCTTGTTATTCCTGGATCAAAACCAGGAGTTAAATTAAATTGATGACTAAACATTTCACTAACGATTAATATGCATGTACAACTTCAATGTAACAATTCAAACAAATTTTTACCCAAATACGCCAGAACCATATCTGCAGTCAAATGATTTTATTTTAATAAATTGCATTGGCAGAAATTCACATTTCGTATTTTCAATCTTGAATATATCAATCCAAAAAGAGAACTCCGAAACTTTATATTTGCATGAGTAATGCGTAACAATCACTGAAATACATGCATGCGTTTAACTTTTGGTAAATACATGCCACTACTTGGGTTGTAATGTTAAACTTGAATGAAACTTAGGTAAAGGCAGTATTCTATCTGGCACCCTATGATTTTTTTTTTTTTTTTTTTCAAATAATTAAAGCAATTTGTCGAATATTCTATTTGACTTAGTTTATTTCAGAAACGGGTTTCTTAAAATTAAATCAGATTTGATTCAAATCCAGACAATATTTGAGAGTAAAATAACCGGTGCGTTTTAACCAGAATACAACAAATTAAGCTAGACAAAGTCAATGTATCGTCTGTTTTAAATAATAGCTTCAGAGTGGTGAAACACCTTTTCTGTTTTTGATAAGTCGTTAACATCGTCACGCGCAATACAGTCTATGGCCTTACATTTTTATGTAAACTTGATAATGATAGTTGGTTTTAAATTACGGTTAAAAACATCACAACAACATCACTTCGCTTCTAGAGTACAATTTATCATGAAACACCAAAAGACTTTTCTTGTGATGTTTTTGTAGTCGCCTCCAGGAAAAACTTCAATAATTTTGAAGTAAACTGTCTCAAAAACAGTAAAACAATAGATATGATTAGAGATGAGATAACAAGTGAGTAAACATCGCTCCATCGCTGCAAAATTCGCTCCAAAATTCATTCATATTCTAGCTTAAAACAATACATTATGTATTTCGGGAATACAAGATTAAAATAAAAAACGAAAAAATTCATGATATAGTGTCATTCGTAATTTTTAATAAGTATCATGGCATTCCATCCTTTGATATTCTTCCATAAAACGATCCTATCCGATTTAAGCTATTTGTTTGAAAAGGTGGTCAAACGGTTTAAAATATCAAGAAATCGAGTGGTACCGTTATACAAGGCTATATAAAATATTGGTGTGGAAATGTTTTGCCACCAAAAAACGAATACCCCCATAAGTGAACTTACTGTATGTTCATATATCGGGTTAACATCCACTCTGGGCATGACCCGTATGCCAAAACCTGTAAAAAACTGAATGGTAGTCTATTTAGTAAAAAAAATAGTATGTAGTTGAATTTTTACAAAAAAAAAAAAGAAGACAACAGCAAGCCTTGCCATGTCACCTTCGAAATACACCTTGATTTAGACAATACAATTTCTAATAATTGATAGGTCTACCGTTATATGGGACAATATCGACCTATGTATTTTTATGAGAATGTCTTTTACTCATAAATATTCCAAATTTTGAAAATCAGTCTCTTCGCATGGGAATATGACTAAGACCTTTGAAATACCTAAAAATGAGCGGTTCCCTTATATAATGCTTATCTCAACACCAGTTAACAATAATTATTTAATAAATATTTCGGTAATTAATGAAATTATCTTCAAATGAATGGCGAAAACCAAGTAGTCGCTAAGACCTGCCGATAGGAACTTCGCTGTTAATTTTTATCACACTATTTAAATGAAAAAATTGCAAAAAATGAGAGAATTCCGCTACTGATTTTTCCAATTGGATTACCAAATATGCACCTTCTTTGAAAATCTACTGTCAGGAGGATTTATATCCCCTGAAACCCCGAAATGCCAAATTACAACTAATTTTACCCTACAACCCTACCCTACGTGTGTTAATTTTTAATCACGTTATGGGTCGGAATTATGTCACAATCCACATAAAATTTTACACGGTGTTAGGTTTAGGTCAGAATAGAAGCCTACTGTTGGGAGAGATGTTCAGTCCAGTCCAACGGCATCACATCTACAGAAACTTTTAGTTAAATAATGTTGTGGGGTATCAAATTGTCAGACCTGCCCGACTACAGTCGATCAGTGATATACCATTGGGATTTTGAGACTCTTCACATGATATTCAATATGCTATTGGTTAGTTATTCAAACTTATATCAAGTTTAGTTGCAGCAATTCTAAGTATTTAGTAGAAAGTGGTAAGGGGAAGGGAATTTGCAATTTCTGGCAATACCTGCGGTTTTCTCCTACAAAAAAAAAAAAAATAAAAACAATGGCAGTAAAAGAAATGATTAAAACGGAAATTTTCTTGTATAAATTCAAAAGGCGGGTTCAAAAGAGGCCGGAGTTATGTCTCTTCGTAAGAAGAAGCATAAACAATGACAGCTGATAAAGTCCGCTTGTTATTTTTTATACTCTCCATATACATAGTGTGGAGGGTATATTAAGTTTGTCAATCCGTTTGGAAATAATCATTTTAGACCTAACAAAGTACATTTATTCTTGATCAGCCTAAAATTCTGAGTCAATTTAGCCATGTCCGCATTTGCTAGTTGGTATAAAAAGCGCGAACCGAATTTATATAAAATTTTTGGGGTGGAAGTGGAGTTTGTGGAGCACATAATGTGGAGTCTGCTGATGAATTTGGTCTTTCTTTTAAATATGTTCTATTAGTTCTATATGAGGAAGGTTTAGAGGTTCCGCCGTTATAAGTAAGCAAATTACGAAGATCTTTTTCTTCTTTTTATATCCAGATGATGTATCAATTTTCAGTGAAGCAGCGGATAAATCTTTAAAAAGCATAATATACACATTTAACAGACTAATTTTTGTTAAATAGGTTAAGATCTTGTTTGTTGGATTAACTTCACTGCGTAAATCAACTTGTTATAAAATTTAGTAAATTGTTCCTCAAATGCGGATGAAATGGTAAAAAATAATTTTTTTTATAGCTCACATTGACTGCTGACTTACTGGTTCCAATATCTCCAATCGACCCCCTATGTTCTACAGTCTCATCTGTTCCAATGTATATATATGTCCCCATAAGAACTATTGACTTACTACTAACAATGTCACTAGTGACTTCCGAATGACAAGCTCATACACAATGTATATAGGAAATAGCTAGTACACACTTGGTCAGTAGTACTGGTGATAAAGTCGATAATACGTCAGTTGTTATTCACCATTCACATTTCCTACAGGGGAAAGATAAAAATTTAAACTCACCTAGTCCACATCAGAACTAAGCACTGTGCTGAGTCATGAAAGTTTTCGGTGACTAGCCTAGTTTGCAGTGCTTTTCCTTCGCTTCTCATATCCCAAGAGTCTTCTTAATTTTTTCATAAAATTTTTAATGTTTCAAAATGTGAGGATATATAATTTGAACGCTAGAAAAGCCGACGAACTGGCCTAAAAACCTTGTTTAAAAAGTAGAAAAACAAATTAATGAGTAAAATTTAACAAACAACGATTGAACTTCGATATTTCAAAATTTAGGCATTTTTATTAGCATTGATCTGGAAGTTATAATTGTGCGTCAACAAAAGAACTTGATTTTGAACATTGATTAAGGATTAGGGTTTTATAACCCAGTAAGTAGATATGTAGTGCATAAATATAAGTAATATTAACAGAGAAAAATTCATGCTTCTTTTATATTCTAGTTTTTACACTTTTCTACAATTTATGGTCCATACCGATGAAATGTGTAGCTATTTCTTGTAGCTATTTCTATAAATCGTTATATAAGTACTTATTTATTGTCTTTAAGTTAATGGATAAATATTTATTTCTTTTTAAAAATAATAAGTTGGTATGCCTATTTATAATAATTATTTTTGCTGGGATACGAGATATTAACTTTACAAAATGATAGACAACAAACGAGCTGAAAAATATATTTTCTTTACTTTATTTGATTCATTTTTATTTATTTTTTGACATTTATTTAACATTAATTCTAATTGAAGAAATAATACAACAACAAATGTCATCATCTTACCTAGGAAAGTTGAAACAAGTCTAATCGTTTATATTCTTAACGTCATTTGAACAAAAAAAAAAAAAACAAATATCCAGAATATAAAAACAATTTTGTTTTTTTAAATCGGACTAGTATTAAATGATATCTACTAACAGCAGAGTCAACGTTATCAACAAGATCCTCCTTTTTTTCTTTATACGACTTTAAATTTTGTACATTTTTTTGAAAATGAAACAAATTATCTTTGTTTGCCTACTGGCATTTGCAACCTTTGCAAACTGTGCTAAATTTCTCAAAGAAAAACGTAAGTTATACTTGGTTATTTGAAGTTTATTATAAACCATTTATTAACTTTTAATTGACTTTGCAGCGGATTTTTTGACGCAGTGTTTATTAGCGGATCCAAATTTTACCAAATGTTTTTCAAAAAATTTTCAAGGACTTTTTCGTAATTGGAAAGATGGTAACGTATACATTTTAATATAGCTTATTAACAGAAAATATTTGAGTTATTAAGGTACAATTCTATATATGTTTAGCGATGTTGGTTCGTCTGTGCAAATCACTCTAGCTTCCGAACGAAATTAAATATGTTGATAAACTTTTACTCAGATCTATCATATGTCTGCACGTATTTTAGTATTGAAAGTACTATTGGCGTTTTGGCATAGGCCTCATATAACTGTATGGCCAGATTTAAGGTGTTTTGTTTGTTTTAGTAACAACTTGAACCCGAATTAGCTGTAAATTTGCAGTTTGTAAGAGTTTTCTATAAAGGTCCAAATCTTAATATAACATTCGGTATGTTGAAGACACATTTTCCGGAATTGTTTCAAATTTGGTATTTGGAATTCGTATTGGATACGACCTCCCATTATGGAAAATCTGTCTATACATACATATATACATAATAGGCTTCATTGGCAGATAATTTGCTGATATTCGGTATTTATACCCTACACCACAAGGTGGTCAGGGTATTATGTCATTGTGCATTTGTTTGTAACAGGCAAAAGGAAACGAGATAGACCCTTAGTTCCTTTTGATGATCTGCATAGAATCACTTTCTGAGTTGATTTATGCATGTCAGTCCGTCTGTCCATGTATTCTTGTGAAAAAAAGGCAGGTCGCATTTATTATCCGATTGAGATGAAAATTTCCAAACAACATTTGTTTGGCCCAAGGACAAACCCCATTGAAATTGGAGATATTCGGTAAAAATTTAGAAATAGCTCCCATATATATCTTCGTCCGATTTGCCTTTTATTGTGCACCAAACGTGTAATATTAGCCCGAATAGTAGGAAATTTTGCACATACAACCAAATTAGACCTGAAAGTAAGTATTCCAAATTTGATCGAAATCGGTTCAGATATAGCTACAGCTCCCATATATTGTTCATCCGATTTGTTATTTTTGTCCTCCGCAGCCGTAATATGCACTCTGTAACAACAATATTTGGGGAAATATATCAAATGTAGCTCAGAAATACCTTTGCTAAATTTTATCGAGATCGTTTCAGATTTGGATATAGCTCCCATATATTTTTTTATCTGATTTCAAATTAATTTTGAACCAAATGGGCAATACAAGTCCTAGTTTAAAGGATACAAATGCTTCGGCATATTTAGTCCTTTGAATTTTAAATTATATTTATAATCATAGCGTGTATGATTGAATTCTCCCATAATAACTTTTAATTGTTATGTGGATCTCAACTAAATTAGCAAAGTCATGTAGGGTATCATAAAATCGGCCCCGCCCGACTTTAGGACTTTGGTTTTTAAATTAAAACAAAATATTTAATGTTTATTTTTTAACAGTTATCAAGTTCCTTCCAAATGATGGAGGTTATTGAAAATTCGTCCCGGAAGACCTTAGCTATTTTTAATTGTTACTAAACCAAGTAAATGGTAGTAGAATAATTGTTATCATCTGATGTATTGAATTTGTAGAGTTGTCACCTAGTTTCGACATTCTTCCTAATTGTCCGTTTCCACGTACCCTCCAAAGTAGTAATGTAAAAACGAAATTAATATTTCACACTTTTACCAGTAATAAAGAATACAACAAATCTAAAATATTTTGAATTGACAATGTTTGTATAGGTCCATGTTTTCCTATAGCGCCTATATAATTTTAACTTCCAATATTCGGTATTTTGACGATTTAGGCCACGTTTTCCTCATAAAATGGTATCTTTCGATATTCGGTATTTTGACGATTTAGAACACAATTTCCATCGGATTTGTTTCAAATTCGGTATTCCGTTTTACTATAGTCACCATAACGATTTCTTGAGATATTCGGTATTTTGATGTTTTTTATCCAACAATATCATTAATAGAGACTTTTTCCTCCGGTGGCTGAACAAAGGTCCACGTTTTACTGTATCCCCCATATAACGGTAATTGTACATATTCGGTATTTTTACGATTTAGGCCCCCAAATCGGATGAAACATATATATGGGGGCTATAGCTATATCTGAATCGATTTTCTCCAAATTTAAAGTTCTTGTTTCTAGGCTGAATTCTGTTAAATGTGCTGAAACACATCCTATTTAGGCGAATATTACACACTTGGCGCACAATAAAAAACAAATCGGATGAAGATATATATGGGAGCTATATCTAAATTTAAACTGATTATTACCAATTTCAATAGGGCTCGTCCTTGGTTCAAACAACTGATTTATAGAAAATTTAATTTCAATCAGACAATAAATGCGACCTATACTTTGTTACAAAAATACATTGAGAGACAGACGGACATGCATAAATCGGCTCATAATGTAATTCTATGCAGATCATCAAAGGTGCTATGGGCTAGCTCGCTTCCTTCTCCATGTTATAAACAAATGTACAAAGATATAATACCCTGACCACAGTGTGGTGTAGGGTAGTGTGGTGTATAGGTTTGAAACTACATTTGAAAGAATTCAATTCTTTTTGAAAAAAATCCCATTCTTATATTTTGTTGGCTTAAAAAATCGACCTTGCATACTTGAATATTACGGCCGTACCCCACCGTTTTACTATTGTGGCGAAGGTGAGTATTTTTGTAGGGTTCGTCGGGTATTAGGTAGATCTGTGAAATATATTCTTATGTGTTTTCAATAAGGTATAATATATAACAATTAGTTGTTTTCCTGTTTTTGTAATAGTTTGTAAGACATTATTTAAATGCAAATTGTTTAAAATTTTAAAATATTTAATGTTGTTTAGCTTTTGTAAATTTTAAAACGTCATTAAAAATTGTTGTTCAAGTTACTAAATTCAACTATGCAGAACAAGTCATTAATCAATCATTTGAAAGCTAAGCAAATACTTAAAATTTTGGATTTCAGAAGTAAAACGTCAAATTGAGTAAAATTAGCTTCGTAATTTTTTAAGTACTCTACCGGGAAATTAAAAGAAATATAAAACAACGAATATTGTATTCCTGATAATGACCTAAATGCGAACGGAGAGATTTTGAGAACACCTAATCGCACTGCATCTATATGGAAGTATAATCATAATGCCGCTTGTATGCATTTAATATGTTCGAATACTTTTTAACTAGCCGAAATTAATGCGTAAATTCTAATCATTATATATGGAATATCAAAAATTGCATATTTAGAATGTATTTATGGCTTTTTTGCAAAACAATATATTTGGTTTCCAAAAAAAAAAATATTGAAAAGCTTATCTCTGATATCCAAAAATGTCAGACCATTGCCCTGTTCCAGAAGAATTTACTAGTTTTGCAATTTGCCCATAATAATCTTATTTCATGCTATGGAAAGTATTTGACGCCCTTGAATGAATAATTTTAATTTTATTAAATATATTTTTGTATTTTTTAACCATATTTGATTTTTATAGGTGTTCCTGGTTTAAAATCGATTGGAGCCTTAGATCCTCTTCTTGTTAAGAAAATCACAATCGAGCACAATCAGTCGCCATTAATGCTTAATGCTGTTTTAAGCAATATTGCTATAACTGGTCTAGGTACTGTGGAAATTGTAGATACCTCGTAAGTAGTTGTTATTCTTAATCCTATAGCTTGAACATCATCTAAAATATACATATATATTACCGTAATTACAGATTGGATCTTGATAAGTTATTTGCAACAGCTACATTAGTTGTACCAAAATTCACCATGGATTCGGATTACAATGCTAAGGGTAGAATTCTTGGATTAGTATTGAACTCCAGTGGAAAATTGAAATTAAGTGCAGGTAAGAGAAATATGAGTTATGTATATATGTGGAGTAAAGATTTTAGTGGTTCTGTTGCATGAGTTGACAGTTAAATTGGCTCAAGTTCAAATGATTTTTTGAAAAAGACTCGCTCATCTCATCTTATTTGTATAAGTTCAAATGGAATCGTGAGAATAAACCCATTACATTCTCCATTGTTTTTTCACCCCATTAAAGACTTTTTCTCTATATAACATCCGCTGTACGTGAATAAAACCTAAGAATAAAATAAAATAAGATAGCCTTTAGAGAAATGTAGAACTATTCAATTAATGAATTTGGTTGAACAAAATACTATATACAGAAGTGTCATTCTTTCTTATAACAAAGAATTTCAAACATGAAAAATAAGTGGTGACAAATGCCGTGGCCATTCGTGGCCCATATAACTTAAGCGATGATTTGTCATCGAATGGTTTGCTGTACGTATCGAAATTATACCAAAGACATAAAAGTATAAAGATATTAACTCAAGGTGGATTTACCTCTGTTGATACGATCCCTTTACATGTTAAGCAATTTTACAGCTTACTCAAAGATCACTTAACCAAAACAGCTAATGTATACAATTTTGAGAACAAATGTTTGTTTTACTGATCATTTTATTTGGCATGCTGATCTATGGCTACAGATGGTAATTATCGTTTGATACGGCCAAAAGTGTCTCATCGTAGTAACGGTTTTAGACCCTAAGTCTCTTTGGACCAAATCCGTTTCGGGACACTTGGAAACAGTATAGAGGTGTCCTTTTATCGGAGGTGTAGCTACTTAAAAATTTTATATTTTTACAAGAAAATGCTACACCATATAATAAATATTCAAGGGAAGGTGTGGCTTTCGTTTATGTTTTTATTAACATCACATATTTTGGAAAATTATCAATTTTTACAAAGTTAATTGGTGATAGGTTTTAAGATATGGACGTGGCGCATTTGGCTAATGCTGACGTACACAATATTTTACCATAGTTGATAAGTTGAACATTTGTATACGCTACGTCGAATTTTAGGGAACTACTTACAAAGCATGCCGTTGCATTGAATTTTGGTTTTAATTGGCCCAATTATGTATGCACATATGTCACCTTTGTTATTGCCATTAAGTAAGTTAATAATAATTGATTCATATATATTTTACAAGGCAATGTATATTGCAATATACTATCTTACGAAGTAGGAACTTACGGTGCTATGTTGAATCTCCGCAATATGGATACGCTATAAGAATTAAATACCTACCAAATTGTCATTGCCAAAAATAAGTAAAAAAACATTTGTTCTAACTTTGGAACATTGGAGCTGAGTTAACGTTAAATTTTTACCATTCCTTATGTAGAAGGAATGATACTGTCTCCATTTCCTCTGTACCATTTCTTCCACCATCCATAATATGTTCATTCAATTTTTTTTTCTAATTTGTATAATTTTATTTTTTCAGAAAAATTTGTGGTTCAGACCAAAATTCAGATTAAACTTCGTGACGAAGGCGGTTTTACATTCACCGACATCGAGAAATTACATTTGGATATTAAAAGCATTGACAGTTTCAACATTTTCTTGGGAAATCTTTTCAACGGCCAAAAAGAATTGGAGGATAGTGCGAATGCCCTTTTCAATGAGAACTGGCGGGAGTTGTACCAGATTTTAAAACCAGCCATAAGGCGTTCTATTGAAACAGTAATGGAAGATCGTCTTTCAAAGGTGTATTCCTATGTTCCAGCCACTTTCCTTGTCAAAGATATACCATCAGCCGCTGCCCATGGATAATCTGTTATATAAGTTATTGGCTAATTAAACCAAATAAAAATATAAATATGTAATCATACCGTACTATACATTCAATATGTCTGACCCGCTACGCTTTGCAACATACGACTATCAATATTATTAGGATACGAATATAATAAATCTTCTTCAAGGTAATAACTTTTAACAAGATATTGTTATACTTCAAGTATCATGCAGCCTTTACCTTTATATACCATCAGCCATATGGCTATAGAGCGTATATATCATTTGATACGGCCAAAACGTGCCTGACCGAAATAACGGTTTTAGACCTTAGGTATAATTGGACCAAATCCGTTTCAGGACATTTGGAGTTTATCAAGGGGTGTCCGTCCTTCATTCTACCTCTCTGGCTGACCGGTACGCACGATATCCCTCGATGTGAGTATCCGATTTGGTCCAAACTTGGTACATCTTAATATTATTATCAAACATAGATTGACCAAACATATTGGTCCACTCCTTGTGGTAAATTTCGCACATTTCAATATTTTCTCTAACACAAGATCTGGTATAAAGAACGGATAGAAAGGGCAACTCCTTCTAGTACCTCCCCCACAACGGGTCAAAATTTGTTATAAACATCAAGTTTATAAAACGCAAAATGAGCATCCGAGCACTTTCAAATTTGGTATATCTCAATATTCTACCAACACAAGATCTAGTGTCCCATCTTCACACCAGATCTTGTGTTGGTAGAATCGGCCAATTTTTTATTTGGTACCTCCCCCACAAAGGGTTAAAATTTTTGAATAACAAAACCCTCACATAATGCGAAATAAGCATTTGATCCTCTGTAAACTTCACACATTCAAATATTTCTTCCAACACAAGATCTGATGTGAAGGTGAGGGATATCGGCCCACTCTTTTTGGTATCTCTACCACAAAGGATAACTTTTTTCAATGCTTATATCTCTCATAAGTTGGGAAACCATTATTCGCATAAAATTGGATATAAATGTTAGATTTTGTTTAAATATTACACATTTCATTATTTCTATTAGCATTATATGAAGTGAAGTACATCTGTTCACTATATGTGGTACCTCACGCACATTTGACACTTTTCGAAAAATTATCGAATATCTCATATAAAGTGATATTTTAATATTTATATCAAACTTATATCAGATATAAAATGGACTATATTGGCCCACTCCTATGAAGGGTCAACAATTTGAATTATCATAACGCAAATATATTATAATATATATTTTTTAATAACTAAACATTGGCTGATGGTATGGAAATTATATTTCACTTCTTATACAATCCAACTTGGAAAAGAGGGTATATTAACTTTGTCATTCCGTTTGTAACATCCCTAAATATTCATCGTAGACTCCATAAAGTATATATATTCATAATCAGCATACCATTCTAAGTCGATTAAACGATATCCGTCTGTCTGTCTGTTGAAATCACGATACAGCCCACATTATCTGACCTAGAGCGTAAAAATTTAGCAGAACAAATTGTATTGTGCCTAGGATGGTTGGTATTGAAAATGATATATCGGTCCACGTTATGGTATAGCCCCCATATATATTCGGTGTTGTGATGACTTTTGCAATTTTTTCACGAATTTGTCTAAAAATCGGTATTTGTAGGTTATAATGCGTTCTAACTTGTGTGGCGATTGTATGTATAGGTCCACGTTTTGGTATAATCCCCATACAAGAGTACCACTCGATATTCGGTATTTTGATAATTATTGCCAAATTTTTTCACAGATTTGTCTATAAATTTGTTGGTCATGATGGGTTCTAGGTCCGGTGCCGCAACGTTGTATGTATAGGCCCACGTTTTGGTATAGTCTCATATAACTGTACCTCTCGATATTCGGTATTTTGATGATTTTTCCTACATTTTTTCAGGGATTTGCTTAACAATTGGAATTTTTTTGCCATGATGGATTCTAGCTCCGGTGGCAAAACATTGTATGTATATGTACACGTTTTTGTATATATGACTTTTGCACATTTTTAGCGGATTTGTCCAAAAATCGGTATTTGTAGGTTATAACGCGTTCTAGCTGGTATAGCCCCCATATAACGGTACTTTACCCTAAGGCGGAGGGTATTAAAAGTTCGGACGGGCCGTTTTTTGCTTGTTAGTGGTAAACTTAGCATGTCCGAATTATTACACTCTCTACCATTTATAAAGCAACTGTTGTAACAATGCCAGTGCCGAAATTCCACTATTCGAAGCGTTTTGCCATTTGGAACATACAATCCAAATTCTAAACAATTATATAAAAAATGTGGTTAAAATGAACAAAATACCGACTATCAGAAGGAATGAGGGTATATTAAATTTAAAGTTGAAGTTGAAGTTCTATATAGAAATAATCATGCTGCGGGAGTAGAACCCTATACGAAATCTAATTAGCAATTTTTTACAATTTCTATAGAAATTATAGCAAATCGGAAATATACCGAGTATAGGGAATTACGGTTATATGAGAGCCTTAACAAAACGTGGTCCTACATGGAACGTTTTCTGGTCCGTTTTATAGGGGATATTGGTAAACATTGATCTATATATGTTCTGCCACAGTTAGTAGAAATACTGTATTTTAAAGTATTCCGTTTTGAAACTGTGGCTACAATCATCAAAATACCGAATGTAGTGGGTACTTTACGAAAATGTGGATTTATATAGACAAAGTTCTGCCACAGGAGATATATCTAATTACGAACTTTAAACAAATCCGATAGAAATCATCAAAATACTGAATATAGGAATGAACAAATATATGGGTTCTATACGAAAAGGTAGACCTGTATAGACAATATTCAACCACACGGGGTAAAACATGTTATAAACTCTAAACATAGGAATTGACTGAAAATCCACACAAGGAGTTCCTTGTGAGTACTTTATCCCTTGGAAGAGAATTATCTATATAGGTCCACGATATCGTATATCTCCCATATAACGGTACCCCCCGATATTCCGTATTTTGATGATTTCAGCCACAGTTTTCAATGGAATTGTCTGAAATTCCACACGAGGAGTTCATTGTGAGTACTTTATCACTCTATCTGAAATTCGAGACAAGAAGTTTCTTGTGAGTACTTTATCCGCTCGAAGAGAATTGTGTATTTAGGTCCACGATATATCCCCTATATAAAGGTTCCTCCCGATATTCGGTATTTTAATGATTTATGAGACGTTATTCTCCGTAATTGTTTCAAATGTCATGTATAAAGTTCGGAACAGTTCCTATGACACAAATTACTTATGCAGGACTACGTCTTCGTCCCCATATAACGGTTTTCACTTGAGCGGTATTTTCCGATGGATTTTTTTTTTTTTAAATTTTTCAAGTTTCTTCCAAATGGTGGAAGGTATAAAAAGTTCGGCACGGCCGAACTCAGCTGCTTTTTTACTTGTTTATATTGTTACAACAAAAGGCCCTCAACGTAAAGCAATATATTTTATGCTGATTTATTCATATCTGACCGTCTATAGAAATCACTAAATCTTCCGAGTTAGTTAGTGGACAAAATGAATTTCAAATACATTTTAGGTGTTGAAAATAAAACAGGTAAGTCCACTATTAGTTAAGCCTCCATATGACTTTGACGATCTATGACTTTTTTCATATTTTTAAATAGAATTATTTGAAATTTGGTATTTGGTATTTACAAATCGTTATGGTTACCATACCCCCTTGCGGGAAATGATCTATGTGATCCCTATGTGATTCCTGAATGATTTCAGGAACATAAATCCCGTAAAATTTGATGTTGCAAGTGCCTCACAAAAGATATATAATAAACCATTAAAATACAGTACTTTGGCAATTATATGTATATTATTGAAAGTAGAACCTTCCAAATTGTGGTGGTTTTCGCCTTAATTATTTTATAGGAATGGCCTCTGACGCCACCACAAAAGTCTACAAGCTCACTTTTTATTCTTTTCTCACTGGCTTGGCATTCATTTAAAATTGATACAAAATTAACCATTTTTATTGAAAAATTTTATTGTTCTCAAAACCCGTGAGTTGTATAAAACATCTGTTATCGACATCACTGTTGATGATTCATTTCAAATAATTGTCTAAAACTTGTTTATCGACTATGCACTTTTATCGACAAACATTTTGAACACAGTAGCAGACGCGAACAGTAGTCATACAAAATCAAAACAACTTTTGATACCAGTACCGAGCTTCCGTATTTGAACGAATTCTGTTTTAAACAACAAATGTCTGTGCTATATGGCGGCTATATAAAGACCTATACATATGCCAAAGTATATCAAAACTTAAACCAATATAGGCAATCTTCAGATTGACTTCGAATTCCACTGTGCTAATATAATATACTAGCTGAACCCGCTGCGCTTCGCTACCCCTTTTGATTTTATATGCATTCAAAATTTTATTTACGAATATATGTTGGTTAAAAAAAACAAATTTAAAAAGTAAAAAAAAAATTATTGCACTACTTTAATGCGTAAATAACCAAAACCATTAGAAAAGCAGTAACATGACATACATACACGAAGGGTTTGTCCTTCGGGTTTATTTATTTCATAGCAAATACCAAGCGTGCAGTAAACTGCAATCTTTTGAAGTTGAGTGGCATTTCTATTGCAATTAGTGAATTCGAGATAGCAACATACTTCGCCGTAATAAGCGTATTTCAAATCAATTGTTGTGTTGTTTTTTAGCGTTAGCCTAAGGCGTTGTGGGTCAATGGTTCTTATTAAAATCATATCCCAATCTGATCCGATTTAAATATAATTTTAAAAAAATTACTTTTACACCAAATTCCGCCACACCTTTCATATTTCATTGAAATTGGTGCGTCAAATATGTGAAATCGGCCGAGAATATATATATGGGAGCTATATCCAAATCTTAACTAATTTCCAATTAATTTATCACATTTATTATTGTAACCAAATTCCGCCACACATTCTGAATTTCATTGGTATCGGTCATATATATCATGTTCGGTGCTTAACATGTATGAAATCGGCCGAAATATATATGTTAGCTATACCCAAACCTC